TCCGCTCTTGCAGTGCCACGATTTCATCACCTCACATGTTGTGCTCTTCAGAAAGCGGTATTTTCACATTCCGAAACGGAGAAAGCTTATCGTATATCTGTGCAGAGGAGGGTAAATAAACAGCAGACGACGGCACTCGATATACACAGCAGAACGTCTCTTTCCTAAAGCACTTATACAGTCGTGCAGTCAGGGTCAAAGAGCAAAGCACTCCACAAGCCTATCCTGATCCATAATCACATATCAATATTTCTCTATATCTGCATTAGTCATAACATGTAACTATAGTGAGACGTTTGAGTGTGTGTGTGTGTGTCTAAATGAAGGCCTGCTGTTGACAGAGCCAAACGAACTAGATCCTGATGTACCAGGATGGTCTCAGCGCTCGTGTTTGCTCTTAGTACACGACTGTAGACACGGCAAATCCTCCGACACAGGGACGAGTGTATGCCTTCTGGAACATCACACTCAGATATTCACACTGCAAATATGATATGATTCAGATTTTAGGAGAGATTATCCAGAAACATCACAGCGGTGCTACACTAGACCGAAACACAACTCGACACTCGCTTACGGTGCAAATATTGCCATAAAATAACATATTAAAGAAGAGATGATGCAAGAGGAAGTTATTGTGATTAAAGATTATGAGGCACGTGAATTTAAAAACAAATAATGATGTGCAAAGATAAGTAGATTATAATAAAAAATTGTACAATACAAGTGAGAATGCTCACATAAGAAGACCTGAAATAAGCAGGATTAACAACAGATTTGTACTCATGATCAGGTGATAAACACTGAATGAATGAATGAATGAATGAATGAATGAATGAATGAATGAATGAATGAATGAATGAATGGAGGGATAATGCATTTTATCACGGAAGAAATCCCACACATTTTCGTCAGCCATTGTCCTGTGCATTGCGGTATAATTAGCGTTAATTACAGCCACGCCTCACAGGAGCAGTTTGCGTTTAAACTCATTACGCACGCACAGGTGTCACAGGTAACACACACTTTACAAAAACACAACAAACTACTTTTCTGCTCGAGCACGAGCACTAACACTAGCCAACTTTTTTTTTTGTTCACCAATGATTGTTCCTCGAGTGAGTCCCGGTTGCTAACACGCACATGTTTGTGTGGATACAAAATACCGGCGCGCTGCCAGATTTTTTATTATTTTTTCTCTCCCGAATGACGTCACGCCGTGTTTTTTCCTTCGGTTGCCTGGCGACGAGGGGCGTGTCCGGGGTTTAAGAACTAGGCGAGGAAAGCCCTGATCTGACGACTCACTCACTCGAGTCCACAGCGCGGAGAACGAGCGCGTCCCGAATGGCACTGAGAGGGAACCGATAGACAGGGAATCCCCGACGAAACGAAACCGAGCCGGGTTCTGATGCGCGTGTCCATCGGCATGGCACGGACAAGCGTCTGACGCGCGCGTTGGACAGGACTGTCAGTGTTGCGACGCGCTCGCAGAATTAAAACACTGAGGATTTCATATTTTGGCTCATGAGGTGCGTTTTGCACTTCTCCAATACTTTTTTCCTTTGGGGTTTTGTGTGTCATGTTTAGGAGCGATAGTTTTCCCAGCCCAGCAGCGTGACTAGGATTATTTTTTCTTTTCTTTTTACCTTTTTTCTTCAATTGCAGGCAGCCACCGAGTGAGTTTGACAGTATGGCTCTGAGCGGCACGCTTTTGCCCTCGATCTCCAGCTTTGCTGATGTGAAGCACAATGCCATTATTGGACCTGGAAATGCCAGTTCGGTGAGTATCTCCTCTATCAGACAGACAGGTGATGGTCAGCGATCAGTTCACGCGCACATTCACGCGCTTTACTCGCAAAATTCCGCTGCAGGTGAGATTATGTCATCGGCTCATAGTTAATATTCCTCGAGCAACGCGCGCGGCAGGGGCGTGAACCTCGCGAGCTCCTCACTGTCGGACAGTCTTTCTTAACTCACACACCTTAGGCTGGATTGTCCTTAAGGCACCATAGCTGGAAAAATACAGTGCTGCATTTAAGACATAATATCAGATTAAAATCAACGGTTAGTTTGGCGATTATTTAGCATGCAAGAATAAACGTTCGCATTTGATAATTATGTCTTTGAGACTTAGAGAATCCAGCCTGAAGTGGAGGATAAATAATAAGTTGGAAACATGATTCTGCATGAAAGTGTCTTTTAATAATTCATAACGTCATCAGATTAAAATCAACATAGTTTGGCGATTATTTAGCATGCAAGAATAAACGTTCGCATTTGATAATTACGTCTTTGAGACTTATTATTTATCCTCCACTTCAGGCTGGATTCTCTAAGTTGGAAACATAATTCTGCATGAAAGTGTATTTTAATAAGTCATAACATCAGATTAAAATCAACATAGTTTGGCGATTATTTAGCATGCAGGAATAAATGTTTGATGATTACATCTTTGAGACATTATTATTTATCCACTTCAGGGTGGATTATCTTAGTTGGAAACATAACTCTGCATGAAAGAGTCTTAATTCATAACATCAGATTAAAATCAACAAGCAAGAATAAACATCCTTAATTTCACGCATTTCATAATAACGTCTTTGAGACTTATTATTTATCATCCACTTCAGGGTGGATTCTCTTAGTTGGAAACATAATGCATTAAATCGTCTTTTAATAATTCATAACATCAGATTAAAATCTATGTGATATTTTGCTGATTATTTAGCATGCAAGAATCAACGTTTGATAATTATGTCTTTGAGACTTATTATCATCCACTTCAGGTTGGGATTCTCTTAGTTGGAAACATAATGGTGCATTAAATCGTCTTTTAATAATTCATAAAATCAGATTAAAATGAATCAACGGATAGTTTGCCGATTATTTAGCATGCAAGAATAAACATACTTTAATTTCCCGCATTTGATTATTACGTCTTTATTTATCATCCACTTCAGGTTGGGATTCTCTTAGTTGGAAATATAATGCTGCTTTAAAACGTATTTTAATAATGAATCAAATCAGATTCAAATCAACTGATTGAATAGCATGCAAGAACAAACGTTACGTCTGTGAGACTCACCTTGTCTTGTTCCCTCTCTCTGCATGTCTGTGTTTGGAATAAGAGATGGACGGAGGACATGTTGCAGCTGAAACACCCCTGCATGTCTTCAGGCGGGACTTGCACTGACCTGGACGTCCCATCCGTGATGACCAAGAGGGAACCGGAAGACCTATTGGACTATGATTTTATTCTGTCCAACAGCATGTTTCAAAAACAACAACAGCAGCAGCAGCAGCAGCAACAGGAGGCCTCGACGTCCAGACCTCTCCCCCCGTCCCCGTCGTCCTACACCTATCAGATGCCCTCTCCTCAGGACCAGGACAACAACATGTTGTACAACATCCCGGACATCAGCGACGTGTCTCCCTCTGGAGGTTTCGTCGCGGAGTTGATGAGACCGGAGCTGGATCCTGCGTATCTTCATCCCACGAGCCTCCAAGGGAAATTTGTGGTGAAGACCACCAGGGACATGAGTGATTACAGCATCAGCAAGGGCGGGTTAATGTTGGACACGTCTTCTGTGCCGATCGTATGTCCTCCGATTAAACAGGAGTGTCCTGGCCCTTGCAGCATCTCCCGACCCATGGATATTCACTTGGGATTGAACTCCGGCTCCGGGGTCGGTCCGAGAACGCTTCTGGATCCTCACGGTTTCGGCACGGGTCGATCTTCCACTTCTTCTCTCTCTCCGGACGAGCGTCCTCAAGCTCAGGTGTTGGGAGAGCCTTCATTATCTCTGGGATATTCCGGTTATTCCGGTTTTCCGCAGCCTCCCGCTCAGTACCAAGGTCAGTATACTATTACTCATTTGACCTTTAACCCTTTGGTGCATTGCACGTGTCGGTTCAAAAATGACTTTTTTTTTCTTTTTTGTCAATGAAATGAATGTACTATATTTGAGTTTGATAATGTTTTTTATTTAATATTTTGTATTTTTTATACTTGCGCTGTATTTATAATCCATTTATTAAATTTTAGCATAGACCTAAAAATGTATTTTCTAACTTAAACTGTTGTAAATGTTGAACGCTTTAAATCACAGACTGAAGTTTGATCTCTTCTCAAAGACGACACTCGGCAGATTATTGCTGAAGTGAAAGAAGTTTTTTTTTTAAAGTAACAGAATTTACGTGTATTGTTATGAAAAATGCACAAAAATACAATTTTAAATTTGTATATGAAATCTATATTTTTAAAATCACGTTTTACTCTAAAACTTCCAAATTTGAGGTTGATATCTCAAAAAATGAGCTTCCAGTGAGATGTTGTTCGGCTGCAGTACCAAACGCTTCCACTAGAGGGCATTCGTCCCCCATTCATTTCCAATGCGCTCGTTCACAAGTGTGACTATTTTTTACAGGACCATTGAACCTGTTCGAATCATGTCCATGATTTTTTTTGTGTTCACATAAAAGCCAAAACAAGTGCCTTTACCAAGTTTTGTACAATTCTGATGAAGTAAAAAATAAAAAATAAAACGAAATGTAAAATTTTTCACCATGGCTTTTGATTTTATCTTTACGTAAAGCATAACCAGGGGTGCCAATCGTGCCAATCGTGTCTAGCTTTTAACCAAGCGTTAACCTCCCTCTCTCTCTTGAATCAAACACTGAGTGAGTTAAACTGCAGTTCCTCCACTGGCCACTAGAGGCCGGCTGCAGAAGAGACTCACTCCCATAGACCCGCATGTTAAAATGCCCAACTTTACAGCAGAATAAAACATGTTTACAGCCTGGTGCAAAAAGTGGTTTTGGTCTATAGAGCTAATGTTGCCCTTCATGACGACTGTGAGGACGGTGAATATTTTTATAACTCATCTGTTTAAATTATATTAAGCCTTAAAGTTCTGCATAATTAAGGGCGTGGCCACTTGAGTGCCAGGTGGATTGCCGGTGCAAACAGTGGTTTTGGTCTATATAGCTAATTTTGCCCATTTTACTCTTTGGCAGAGCTGATTTCTCCAGCTGAGGGTTTGCCGGAAGAGTCCAAGCCCAAGCGGGGTCGCCGCTCCTGGCCGAGGAAGCGGATCGCGACACACACCTGTGATTACGCAGGCTGCGGGAAAACATACACCAAGAGCTCGCATCTCAAAGCCCACCACAGGACTCACACAGGTCAGTGTCCTTCCTCTTCCTGGTTCTGAATCGGACTCTCGGATTGGTCAGATTGATCCGCCCCTGCGGCGTCCACTGTGTTAGTGGGTTGGTCGATCCCCCTGTCAATCACAGCGGCTGGACCAATCAGAGGCTGAGCTGATGAGGGAACAGGACTGGCGTCTTTCTTGCTGTCGTTAACAGTCCTGCAAACATCAGATGTGTGTTCAGCTTTAATGAACATTTAATTGTAGCTGTAAATCATGAGCAGTAATCATCAGCTAAAGAACACTTAGCTCCACAAGGAGCGTTTGCCTGTGGTTTAAAAACAACTAGCCGAACTAATACACACTTCCAGCATTATTAAAGACAAGTAAACACTTGACAATTAAAAAAGAACTACTGGAAACGAGTAGCAATCGCAACAAATAGACACAACTGAACAAAGATACGATGTGAGAACAGTAGATTATATTTATATAAAATATACAAAAATAGGGTTGTGCAACGATTAATTGCATCCAAAATAAAAGTTTGTGTGTACATAATGTGTGTGTGTGTGTGTGTACTGTGTATAATTATTTTGTATATGTAAATACACATGATATGCATGTATGCATTTAAGAAAAATTTGTTATTTATGTATAAATATATATATATATATAGTGTACATACATGCAAATATTTCTTAAATATATACATGCATATGTGTGTATTTATATGTACAAATTAATTATACACAGTACACACACACACATATTGTGCGGAAAATGTGATTTAAACCATTCAAGCGTGAGACGACACTGTTGTCAGTGCCTAATATCTCTCACAATGAAATGCTCACAAAGGAATCGAAACAAGTATCCGATTCCTGACCTCAAGTGTTGGCTTCTCGCTCCCCAGCCCTGTTTGCCACACATGTGCTGTAATGCCGATCCGAAGAGCGAGTGCAGTTGGCAGGTGTTCTGCTAGCCCAACAGCAGGTTGATACTGATCCCTGATGAAATAAACCACAAGCCTGTGTTTGACTTCCCCTTCTATTCAATAAACCAAAGGATGAGCAACACCTGAATGGCCTCTCCCTCTCTTTAATTGTGTGTGATTGTTCTCGTTAGCACCTGAGGGTGAAGCGCTAACTGTTGCGTGTGTTTGTGTGTTTAGGAGAAAAGCCGTATCACTGTGACTGGGAGGGATGTGGCTGGAAGTTCGCCCGCTCGGACGAGCTCACGAGGCACTACCGCAAACACACGGGACACCGACCGTTCCAGTGCCAGAAGTGCGACCGGGCGTTCTCCCGGTCCGACCACCTCGCACTGCACATGAAGCGCCATCTATAGCCAAACCTGGAGGACCACAACACCAGTGGAGAGACTGGAGAACCAAGTGTTGCCTTTGAACAAGAGTCAGCGGCTGCGTTTACATGCAAGCAAAGGAATCCGTTCGCGCCTTCACGTAAACGCATTAATCGATCCGACTGAGCTCGATCCCAATGAGATTCCGATCCGATGGAAAGGGGCGTTTATTCCTTTTCTAATCCGATCCAGAGAACATGTGAACACTTGATCGGATTGAAAACTGAAACTGAAAGACTGCGCATGTGCGATGACGTTGAAATAGTGTGATAACGTTGAAATGGCGTAGAAATGTCGTAATGACGTTGAAATAGCGTGATGACGTTGAAATGGCGTAATGACGTTGAAATGGCGTAGAAATGTCGTAATGACGTTGAAATGTCGTAATGACATTGAAATAGCGTGATGACGTTGAAATGGCGTGAGGACGTTGAAATGGCGTAATGACGTTGAAATGGCGTAGAAATGTCGTAATGACGTTGAAATGTCGTAATGACATTGAAATAGCGTGATGACGTTGAAATGGCGTGAGGACGTTGAAATGGCGTAATGACGTTGAAATAGCGTGATGACGTTGAAATGGCGTAATGACGTTGAAATGGCGTAATGACATTGAAATGGCGTAATGACGTTGAAATGGCGTAGAAATGTCGTAATGACGTTGAAATGTCGTAATGACGTTGAAATGTCGTAATGACGTTGAAATGGCGTGATGACGTTGAAATGGCGTGAGGACGTTGAAATAGCGTGAGGACGTTGAAATGGCGTAATGACGTTGAAATGGCGTAATGACGTTGAAATGGCGTAATGACGTTGAAATTGCGTAATGACGTTGAAATGGCATAGAAATGTCGTAATGACGTTGAAATGTCGTAGAAATGTCGTGATGACGTTGAAATAGCGTGATGACGTTGAAATGGCGTAGAAATGTCGTAATGACGTTGAAATAGCGTGATGACGTTGAAATGCCGTAGAAATGTCGTAATGACGTTGAAATAGCATGATGACGTTGAAATGGCGTAGAAATAGCGCGATGACGTTGAAATGGCGTAATGACGTAGAAATAGCTTAATGACGTTAAAATGGCGTAATGACGTTGAAATGGCGTAGAAATAGCGTGATGACGTGGAAATGGCGTAATGACGTTGAAATGGCGTGATGACGTTGAAATGGCGTAGAAATAGCGCGATGACGTTGAAATAGTGTAATGAAGTGGAAATAGCGTGATGACGTATGACAGAACGAGCTGTTGTTCCTGTTGAATAAAGTGTCGTATAAATGAGTTTCCCGTCATAATAAAATTACATTATTATTACACTACATTAACAACATATTATTATTTATTACATTCTATTATTTATATATTTCTATTATCACCACCACCAGTGCTGACTTCAGACTCTCATCCACAGACGACAGGATAAATATAATCAACGGCTCATACGCTCATTATCTCCAAATTATGACCAGAAAATGGATAAATATTAATTCTGCTGTTTAAAACAAATAAAGAACTGTATTGAGAATAGTTATTATGCGCAAACAGCAGAAACTCTGTATATATTCGTGTGCGCATGTCAAACAATATATCCCGATTTGAATGACATATAAACTCATCTTTGATCACCAAAATGACATATTTAAAGTATAAACGCACATCAACCCGATCACATGTTCAGCGTTCATGTAAACACTACATTCAGAGTGAAAGGAAAGTTGTGCATGTAAACGTAGCCGGTGAAACTCTACGACAAGCTGTGTTTTCCACAGCATCAGGGTTGGGACTTTTCTGCTTCTTTTCTTATTTTTGTTTTGTTTTTTGTCGTCGTCTTCCAACATGCTGGTGATTGGAGAGCTCTGTCCGTTCTCTGGGACGATACTGGAACGTGCGTCTACTTACGACAAAACTTGGAGATGCCAAGTGCCAAACTAAAGACTGGAAGTATATGAATATCAGGGATACACATTAGATTATATGCAGGGTTTGAAATTAACACTCGCCAAATGTGGCGGGAAAAATCAAATGTGGCGGGAAAAATCAAATGTGGCGGGAAAAATCACGAGCCAATTTGGCGAGTTACTTATTTTGTTTACTCACTTTACTGGGGAAGTTCGTGGAAAACCAAATCTGCGCAGATTTAGCGCAAATACTCAACATTTGTCATCATGATATATTAAATACAGCGCAGAATCTGCTCATTTCTGGCTTACTTGAACACACTCGTCACTACGCGACACATAACAGCGCTAGCATTGAAGCGATAGCGGAGATTAAAAGCATTCGTTGAACAGAAAATACATTATTTTCCAACATCCTACATTTCTTTGAACTGTATTGATCGGTCCATCTAAAATACATTTTTGGAAGGGAGGAGAATAAGAATAAGAAATGAATGTATGAAATCAAAATATTATGTATATGCTGTGACGTAGTTAATCTGGTTTATTTCTTTTTTTTACTTTTGGCTCGTAGAAATTCTGAATGTCCGGTAACTTAAAAATACACATGAAACTCGAAAAATTAGAATATGGTGCAAAAGTTCATTTATTTCAGTAATTCAACTTAAAAGGTGAAACTAATATATTATATCGACTCATTACATGCAAAGTGAGATATTTCAAGCCTTTATTTGTTATAATTGTGATGATGATTATGGCTTACAGCTTATGAAAACCCCAAAGTCAAAATTAGAATATTGTGAAAAGTTTTCATATCTGTAAGCCATAATCATCAACATTATAACAAATAAAGGCTTGAAATATCTCACTTTGCATGTAATGAGTCGATATAATATATTAGTTTCACCTTTTAAGTTGAATTACTGAAATAAATGAACTTTTGCACCATATTCGAATGGTTCCGGTTTCATCTATATAGTGGCCAAATTGTCCGGTGAGTGAATAGTTAATTTCAGACCCTGATTATGTTTTAAAGAGGCCTTTAATCGACCCACATTCCATCACTCGATCCTCAAACACTGATTCGTCGACTGGATTGTTTAGTTGCTCTCTCTAAAAGCCATTAATTTCAGGTACAGACTAATTTATAGTGTGTTACAGGAGTATCGGCAGGCGTGTTCAGCGCGGTACCAAAGATCAGAGTTGCAAGGTGCAATAATTTTGATATGTAAGACATGCATATTTTTATATAATAAACAACAAAAAATAACTCTGAACAAAGTTGTTTTGTTTATAGTCAGATTCATGTAATATAATCTTACGTTTTGTACATTTGTAAATATTTTTCATTATGGTTTTTTTTGTATTTTATGTATGAATGCAATCCAATAATAAACCAAAAATAAAAGTGACTTGCATTTTCTGTTCGGTGATTAATGTGTGATCAAGGCAGACGTTAATCTGCATAATCAGGTTATTAAGTTGCTAATTATCATGTTTAGCAGACAGAACACATTAATTTCTCTATAAAATTGGTTTCAGTCTGATCTTTGCTTTATGTATTAATGAATGCCTTTGTGAATCAGCATTTTCTTTAAGTACTGGTAACACTTTATATTCATGTTCATTAGTTAATAACTAACATGAACTAACCATGAGCAACACATTTGTTACCGTATTTATTAATCTTTGTTAATGTTAGTTGATAAAAATACAGATGTTCATGTTAGTTCACAGTGCGTTAACTAATACCTTTGATTTATTAACGTATTAATAAATGTTAACATTAATATTACTAAGATGCTGTAGATTGTTCATTATTAGTTCATGTTAACTAATGAACCTTATTGTAAAGTGTTTCCAAAATACGATTCATTGTATTACATTAATAAAAGGAAATATGATAATGCCGTCCTAATGTCAACAATTCAATTTAAATGTTTGGATATTATTACGATATTTTAATAATCTATATTAACAAATGAACAAGTTTCCTTCTAATTATAAACTAAACTGATTTATTATGTCTCATATACATAACTCAATGATACTATTAATATTATTCCCTTCGACACCATTATTATTATTATTTAGACTATCTGTCTGTCCATCAGAGAAGTGTGTTCATATGCTGTGGATATCAGACAAAATTATATTTTATTGGCGTGCTTTTGTATATTTAAAGACGTGCCGAATGTCATTGTTAACAACTTGATGTTTTTATGACTTTTGATTAGATCCAGTCAACACACTTTTCATATTAACATGTGAGGGGACAGTAATGAAATATTGCTTTGATTTTTCATCGGCAGCTTTATGAGCACATGTGCACAGGTATTAACATCACTTATATTAACAAAATATGCTGTGATTTATTTATTTTTAACACGCTGAACATAATTTTTTTTATATTTCCCTAGCTATGCTGTGTATTTATTCACCTCTGAACGCCAACAGGGAAATATTAGATAAAATATCTAGTGGGTTTATACACTGAATAAATGCATAGGCTTGTTTCCAGTCGCGGGCAACAGCGCCACCTGGAGGACAAACTCAGCCACAAAACACAAACTGTGTCATAATTTATTCACCCTCAAGTTGTTCTAAACCTGTATGAGTTTCTTTCTTCTGTGGAACTAAATAGAATATATATATATTTTTAAAGAAGAATGTGAGTAAGGTTGCTGGTTCGCATTGACTTCCATGTGAAAAAAGAAAAGAAAAATACTAACGGAAGTCAATGCGGACCAGAAACTGTTTACTCACATTCTTCTTTAAAAAAAAAATCTTCTTTTATGTTCCACAGAAGAACGAAACGCATACAGGTTTATAACAACATACAGCCATGCTTTGTTAAATCGTAATTACGACATAAAAAATGAGATTATGACATTCAGAGTAAAAAAAAAAAAATTATTTACGGTTTTTTTTTTATAACATTTACGCCTTAAGTAAGATTTCAAAGCATTTAGTTTCAAAAGGGCCTCGATATGAGACAAAGATGGTCGTTCATTACTCTCCTGGACATCTGGTTCAACCGAGGCTCAATTCAGCGATTTTGATGTTAAAACAAAATGTAGCCTATACTAAAATTAAAGCACGTCTTACCCAAACACACCTGAAATATAAGACACAAATTAAACTGAAAAAGGTGTTTCAAAACCGTGAGGTGAATGCTCGAGACATCAGGTCTAACTGACCAAATATCTCAATTTCTTTAAAAATACGATTTACCTAGATAACTCTGCCGTCTTTGAGGTTAAGCTTTATCTCTTAGCATATTTTGTTGTAATATTTGATTTATACATCGTATTTTAAATTTTTGTACTTACCTCTATGTAACGTCCATTTTAAAGTTGTTATCGCTCACGTTATCTCACCGTTTGTACTAATATTTGTAAGGGAACGGTCGGGATTTCCCGCCATTCCTGTCACAAGCGCGCGCTTTTCTGTTCACGTGATGTTTCAGTCAGACGTTTGAGACATGATTTTACATACAATTACACTTAATATATATATATATTTTTTTTTTGTAAAGGGAAAAACTCACTTGCATTATTACTGTAAAATACTGCAAACCAGCCACCCATAAAAACGGCTAAAAAAAAAAAGTACGGAGTGTTAATTTCCCTAGTGTTCCCCGAGTGTTAATTGCCCATTTCTGCTCATAACTTAATTCTGAATATGGTCTATTTGGGGTTTAAGACATTACGTGCGTAGTATGGGTCTTTCAGGTGTGTATACAGCTTAATCTGTTTCTCATTTGCCGTTTTTAATGCAATAAAACACAAATAAGCTCCTAACGACACAACAGCAGAAGGTCAAGAACGGGTAATCCGTATTTATCGTCGAAAACATTTATTTCCCTGTAAAAATTACAGTATAGTGATATTGACGTCCAAACTATGTCAAACGATGGAAGTCATATACATGCTTTTAATAGTTCTTAATGTATATATGAAAGGCCTGCATTTATCAGTATTACTCAAAACATCCACAACAAGAGCCGATATCCTTTACTGATGCTTTCATAAAGAGAGGAACCAATCTTATATAACTCTTTTGCTTATTTAAAACTCGATTTAAAACTGCATTTAAGTATTTTAGATCCCTATTAATGGTCAAGTTGAGTGAGTGAAAGAGAGAGCGAGAGAGAGAGCAAAAAAACAGGGACAATGATAATAATATGATTAAACCAAAAGTCCCGATCAATCCTGATTCCGAATTCAAGGAAAAACACATTCCACAAGCCTCTTGAACCTGCTAACATGTCCTAACAATGGAGAAAACAATGTTCTTTATTGGTCATAAAAAAAGAACAAATGAAAAACAAACAGGTATCACACGGCCAAATGTTAGATGAAGAAAAGAGGCTTTTACTGATTTCCGCCACTGGAGACGAACAAATGAAGTTCAGAAGATCTCCAGGCAAACGTGCTCATGTCATCCAGTGTGTAAAATGTAGAGAGTGTGTGTGTGGGAGAGAGAGAGAGAGTGAGTGAGAGTGTATTTGTATAGATTTTCTTCTCCAAAAATGATCATTCAAACAGAAAAAAGAAACTTAAGAGGGGAAATGATCAGCGCTCCACTCCTCCTCTAATCATCATCAAAGTTCTGTTGTAAAAGGAAGTTTGCGGCCAGATTTTCATTCTTCTCACACGCGAAGTAAGCCTGTATAACGAGTCCTTCTGGGAATCCGAGGGCTTTTAGCTGAGGAGAGAGCAGAGGAACATGGGAAGGTTAGATAAGAGCACAGCCCGCGCACCTTTGATCGTCCGCCAGCAGATCCTCCATCTGTGGCGCTCTCGTAATTAAAGGGCCTCGCTTTAATTAGATAAAAGTTGAAATTCAGACTTTATGACTTTAAAAAGTATCTTACGTCTAAAGAAGAAAGTAGGAAAAACCCTGGTTAGGAAAGCACTGTGATGAGCAACAGCTTGCTGAGGCCAATCAGTGTAACTAAGCTAATTAAAAACTCTCGTTATTCTACACTGCCTTCATAATACAGGCCGTCTGACCAACTCAACTGCTGTTAATATGCTTGCAAACTAAATTGCATGAAATGGTCATAATAATCAGTAAAAAACATCACAAATGTAATAAACAAATATGTCTCCATTATATTATTATTTTCTGTGTGACAATTCAAAATTGAATTCAAATCACATATGCTTGACATTTTTTTGCACACTTGCTAATAAATATGATCAGATTCCAATAAGATATGTACAAAAATCAGATTTGGACTGACACTCTGAACAAGCTTTAAAAGTCCCGTAATGTCTTGATTTCTGGCTATTATTAGGCATCTTCTCTCTGAGTCACAACCAGGAAAGCCTATTCATTATATGAATATATAATTCAATATATATATATATATATTAGTAGTATATTATATATTAGTAGTATCGGCACAATAACCTGATTATTGCCTTTCTTTAAACACATTATTATAGTATCAGCAAATAGCAATCAACCCTTTGATTCGTATGTGTTGATATATTAGTGCATAAACCAACTGCTATACATGTATATATACACTATATTATTACTACATCATATATATATATATACACACACGTGTGTGTGTGTGTGTGTGTATATGAATATACACACATATATTATATAAACACAAACTTTTATGTTAGATGCAATTAATCGATTTGACAGCCCATATATTATATTATATTATACTAACCAAGTGTATATAATATAAATTTTATTGTTTAACATTTTAGATTTAAATTGTTTAAATCTCAGTTTTATTTCAGTTACACTAAAAATGTATTTATTATTTGGCGAAGAAACTTAGAATTTTCACTCAAAAATTGCTAATAAATTTTTAAAAACACTTGCTTTTGTTTACATAATATATGCATGTACTGTGTATAACTATTTTGTATATATAAATACACATATGCATGTGTATATTTAATAAATAGTGTATATATATTTATACATAATTTATATTATATATAAATATTATATATATATTATATTATTCTTAAATATATACATGCATATGTGTGTATTTATATATACAAAATAATTATACAGTGCACACATATATTATGTAAACACTTATTTTGGATGCGATTAATCGTAGCACATTTATTTTTGAGATTGCATGGGTTAATTCTGTTTGGACGATGTTTTATTTTATTTGTGTGGGTCTTAAAAAGTCTTGCATTTGATTTTAAAAGACAAAATGTTGTTGTTAAAGCTGAAGAGTTTCACCCTCTCAATAGCTTCTTTCTCCTGCGGCGTGACCTGGATGTAGTTCATGCCTCCCGCCTCGGCCACGCCCGCGGCCACGCCCCCAGCCCCACCCCCACTGCCCGCCTGCCCCGCCTCCTGGACCGGCTCGTTCAGCATCTGGATGAACTGCTCCTGATGGCTGCTGATTTGCTGGGAAAACAAGAGAAACAGAAAAAGCTTAGCCCTGATTTGCTGAGGGTCATTTATCACACAGGAACAGGAAGATCAAGTCAAGAGTCGATCATCTGCATCAGAACGCTATCGCAAACAGAGACAGAGCGCATTTAGGCCACGCCCACACCGGGGGGGTCCAACCGCCTCCATTGACTTTGCATTGCGAGAAGCTGCCTCCTTGTCATTTCTGACTTTGTGTGTGTGTGTGTGTGTGTGTGTGTGTGTGTGTGTGTGTGTGTGTGTACCTGCAGGAGCTGTGGGTTCTCTCTGCCGATCTGCTGTAGTAGAGCTGGTAGCAGAGACGGGTTCTGCTGGATGATCTGTGTGTGTGTGTGTGTGTGTGTGTGTGTGTGTGTGTGTGTGTGTGTGTGTGTGTGTGTGTGTGTGTGTGTGTGTGTGTGTGAGTGTGTGTGAGTACCTGCAGGAGCTGTGGGTTCTCTCTGCCGATCTGCTGTAGTAGAGCTGGTAGCAGAGACGGGTTCTGCTGGATGATCTGTGTGTGTGTGTGTGTGTGTGTGTGTGTGTGTGTGTGTGTGTGAGTACCTGCAGGAGCTGTGGGTTCTCTCTGCCGATCTGCTGTAGTAGAGCTGGTAGCAGAGACGGGTTCTGCTGGATGATCTGTGTGTGTGTGTGTGTGTGTGTGTGTGTGTGTGTGTGTGTGTGTGTGTGTGTGTGTGTGTGTGTGAGTGTGTGTGAGTACCTGCAGGAGCTGTGGGTTCTCTCTGCCGATCTGCTGTAGTAGAGCTGGTAGCAGAGACGGGTTCTGCTGGATGATCTGTCTCATCTGCAGGAACTGTGGCTGGTTCCTCAAGAACTCCAGAGGATTGGCTGCAAACACACACACACACACGAGAGAGTCAGAGAAACTGTTGCACATCAAGAACTCGAGCTGTACGATTAATCGCAATGAAACGGCACAAGATTTGGCAAAGGCTGTGATTATTTTATGCGCAGTTTGTGCCACAGGGCGTCACACACACACACACCACATATCCATCTGAACACCAGAGGGCGTCACACACACACACCCGCAGAAGTACGATAACACACATCAGTCCAGGAACCCCCTCTGGTCATCACTCTCTCTGTCTGAATAGACAGCAGATGAACAGGAGGAGCCGCGTTTACAGAGCCGATCATCACTGACAGTGTGTGTGTGTGTGTGTGTCACTCACCCCCTGATCCTGTGCTGGGCTGTAGTGTGTGTGTGCTGGGCTGTAGTGTGTGCGTGTGTGTGTGTGTGTGTGTGAGAGAGAGACTCACCGCCTGATCCTGTGCTGGGCTGTGACGGGGCGGTACTGGACGGTGAAGAGAGACCCGAGGTTACAAGAGGAGCGCCACCTACTGGAGCCACTGGGTCAGCAGCTCCTACACTGCCCTCGCCCTCCGCGGGGATGCCCTAACACACACACACACACACACAAAAAAAAATTTATAATTTTAGGGCTTCGGGTCATTTTGATCTGCGAGGGAAAGATGTGTCAGTGTTGTGCTGCGCCCTCTTGTGGGCATAGGAGACAATACAGTACTTTTTCTCTCTAACATTAAAGGGATACTCCACCCAAAAATGAAAACTGTCATCATTCACTCACCCTCAAGTTGTTGCAAACCTGTATGAGTTTCTTTCTTTCTATGGAAGTCAATGGTGTCCCACAACTGTTTGGTTCCAATCGCCCTTCAAAATATCTTCCTTTGTGTTCAGCAGAAGAAAGAAACTCACACAGGTTTGCAACAACTTGAGGGTGAGTAAATGATGACAGAACTTTCATTTTTGGGTGGAGTATCCCTTTAAGTATTGCCTTAAATATCAGAATAATACTTCGAATTTTGCTAATATTAAAAAAGAAATTCGAATTTAGCATTTCAGCCATTTTGACAGCCCTAATACCCAGCCCTCAATAACATAAGAAGGTGTAGAGTCTCACCCTAAACATGTGATCTGCTGATTTACAGGTCTGTGTCTGCATAGAGACAGTGTGTTCTGCAGTGCGGGGGAAGGGTGTGTGTGACGTCAGTGTGTTCTGCAGTGCGAGGGAAGGGTGTGTGTGACGTCGGTGTGTTCTGCAGTGCGAGGGAAGGGTGTGTGTGACGTCAGTGTGTTCTGCAGTGCGAGGGAAGGGTGTGTGTGACGTCAGTGTGTTCTGCAGTGCGAGGAAAGGGTGTGTGAGACGTCAGTGTGTTCTGCAGTGCGAGGGAAGGGTGTGTGTGACGTCAGTGTGTTCTGCAGTGCGGGGGAAGGGTGTGTGTGACGTCAGTGTGTTCTGCAGTGCGGGGGAAGGGTGTGTGTGACGTCAGTGTGTTCTGCAGTGCGGGGGAAGGGTGTGTGTGACGTCGGTGTGTTCTGCAGTGCGAGGGAAGGGTGTGTGTGACGTCGGTGTGTGTGACGTCAGTGTGTTCTGCAGTGCGAGGGAAGGGTGTGTGTGACGTCAGTGTGTTCTGCAGTGCGAGGGAAGGGTGTGTGTGACGTCAGTGTGTTCTGCAGTGCGAGGGAAGGGTGTGTGTGACGTCAGTGTGTTCTGCAGTGCGAGGGAAGGGTGTGTGTGACGTCAGTGTGTTCTGCAGTGCGAGGGAAGGGTGTGTGTGACGTCAGTGTGTTCTGCAGTGCGGGGGAAGGGTGTGTGTGACGTCAGTGTGTTCTGCAGTGCGGGGGAAGGGTGTGTGTGACGTCGGTGTGTTCTGCAGTGCGAGGGAAGGGTGTGTGTGACGTCAGTGTGTTCTGCAGTGCGAGGAAAGGGTGTGTGAGACGTCAGTGTGTTCTGCAGTGCGAGGGAAGGGTGTGTGTGACGTCAGTGTGTTCTGCAGTGCGGGGGAAGGGTGTGTGTGACGTCGGTGTGTGTGACGTCAGTGTGTTCTGCAGTGCGAGGGAAGGGTGTGTGTGACGTCAGTGTGTTCTGCAGTGCGAGGGAAGGGTGTGTGTGACGTCAGTGTGTTCTGCAGTGCGAGGGAAGGGTGTGTGTGACGTCAGTGTGTTCTGCAGTGCGAGGGAAGGGTGTGTGTGACGTCAGTGTGTTCTGCAGTGCGAGGGAAGGGTGTGTGTGACGTCAGTGTGTTCTGCAGTGCGAGGGAAGGGTGTGTGTGACGTCAGTGTGTTCTGCAGTGCGGGGGAAGGGTGTGTGTGACGTCAGTGTGTTCTGCAGTGCGGGGGAAGGGTGTGTGTGACGTCGGTGTGTTCTGCAGTGCGAGGGAAGGGTGTGTGTGACGTCGGTGTGTTCTGCAGTGCGAGGGAAGGGTGTGTGTGACGTCAGTGTGTTCTGCAGTGCGAGGGAAGGGTGTGTGTGACGTCGGTGTGTTCTGCAGTGCGAGGGAAGGGTGTGTGTGACGTCGGTGTGTTCTGCAGTGCGAGGGAAGGGTGTGTGTGACGTCAGTGTGTTCTGCAGTGCGAGGGAAGGGTGTGTGTGACGTCGGTGTGTTCTGCAGTGCGAGGGAAGGGTGTGTGTGACGTCAGTGTGTTCTGCAGTGCGAGGGAAGGGTGTGTGTGACGTCAGTGTGTTCTGCAGTGCGAGGGAAGGGTGTGTGTGACGTCGGTGTGTTCTGCAGTGCGAGGGAAGGGTGTGTGTGACGTCGGTGTGTTCTGCAGTGCGAGGGAAGGGTGTGTGTGACGTCTGTGTGTTCTGCAGTGCGAGGGAAGGGTGTGTGTGACGTCAGTGTGTTCTGCAGTGCGAGGGAAGGGTGTGTGTGACGTCAGTGTGTTCTGCAGTGCGAGGGAAGGGTGTGTGTGACGTCAGTGTGTTCTGCAGTGCGAGGGAAGGGTGTGTGTGACGTCAGTGTGTTCTGCAGTGCGAGGGAAGGGTGTGTGTGACGTCGGTGTGTTCTGCAGTGCGAGGGAAGGGTGTGTGTGACGTCGGTGTGTTCTGCAGTGCGAGGGAAGGGTGTGTGTGACGTCGGTGTGTTCTGCAGTGCGAGGGAAGGGTGTGTGTGTGACGTCAGTGTGTTCTGCAGTGCGAGGGAAGGGTGTGTGTGACGTCGGTGTGTTCTGCAGTGCGAGGGAAGGGTGTGTGAGACGTCGGTGTGTTCTGCAGTACGAGGGAAGGGTGTGTGTGACGTCAGTGTGTTCTGCAGTGCGAGGGAAGGGTGTGTGTGACGTCAGTGTGTTCTGCAGTGCGAGGGAAGGGTGTGTGTGACGTCAGTGTGTTCTGCAGTGCGAGGGAAGGGTGTGTGTGACGTCGGTGTGTTCTGCAGTGCGAGGGAAGGGTGTGTGTGACGTCGGTGTGTTCTGCAGTGCGAGGGAAGGGTGTGTGTGACGTCAGTGTGTTCTGCAGTGCGAGGGAAGGGTGTGTGTGACGTCAGTGTGTTCTGCAGTGCGAGGGAAGGGTGTGTGTAACGTCAGTGTGTTCTGCAGTGCGAGGGAAGGGTGTGTGTGACGTCAGTGTGTTCTGCAGTGCGAGGGAAGGGTGTGTGTGACGTCGGTGTGTTCTGCAGTGCGAGGGAAGGGTGTGTGTGACGTCAGTGTGTTCTGCAGTGCGAGGGAAGGGTGTGTGTGACGTCAGTGTGTTCTGCAGTGCGAGGGAAGGGTGTGTGTGACGTCGGTGTGTTCTGCAGTGCGAGGGAAGGGTGTGTGTGACGTCAGTGTGTTCTGCAGTGCGAGGGAAGGGTGTGTGTGTGACGTCGGTGTGTTCTGCAGTGCGAGGGAAGGGTGTGTGTGACGTCAGTGTGTTCTGCAGTGCGAGGGAAGGGTGTGTGTGACGTCAGTGTGTTCTGCAGTGCGAGGGAAGGGTGTGTGTGACGTCAGTGTGTTCTGCAGTGCGAGGGAAGGGTGTGTGTGACGTCAGTGTGTTCTGCAGTGCGAGGGAAGGGTGTGTGTGACGTCGGTGTGTTCTGCAGTGCGAGGGAAGGGTGTGTGTGACGTCGGTGTGTTCTGCAGTGCGAGGGAAGGGTGTGTGTGTGACGTCAGTATGTTCTGCAGTGCGAGGGAAGGGTGTGTGTGACGTCGGTGTGTTCTGCAGTGCGAGGGAAGGGTGTGTGTGACGTCGGTGTGTTCTGCAGTGCGAGGGAAGGGTGTGTGTGACGTCGGTTGTTCTGCAGTGCGAGGGAAGGGTGTGTGTGACGTCAGTGTGTTCTGCAGTGCGAGGGAAGGGTGTGTGTGACGTCAGTGTGTTCTGCAGTGCGAGGGAAGGGTGTGTGTGACGTCAGTGTGTTCTGCAGTGCGAGGGAAGGGTGTGTGTGACGTCAGTGTGTTCTGCAGCGCGAGGGAAGGTGTGTGTGTGACGTCGGTGTATTCTGCAGCGCGAGGGAAGGGTGTGTGTGACGTCAGTGTGTTCTGCAGCGCGAGGGAAGGGTGTGTGTGACGTCAGTGTGTTCTGCAGTGCGAGCGAAGGTTGTGTGTCACGTCGGTGTGTTCTGCAGTGCGGGGGAAGGGTGTGTGTGACGTCGGTGTGTTCTGCAGTGCGAGGGAAGGGTGTGTGTGACGTCGGTGTGTTCTGCAGTGCGAGGGAAGGGTGTGTGTGACGTCAGTGTGTTCTGCAGTGCGAGGGAAGGGTGTGTGTGACGTCAGTGTGTTCTGCAGTGCGGGGGAAGGGTGTGTGTGACGTCAGTGTGTTCTGCAGTGCGAGGGAAGGGTGTGTGTGACGTCGGTGTGTTCTGCAGTGCGAGGGAAGGGTGTGTGTGACGTCGGTGTGTTCTGCAGTGCGAGGGAAGGGTGTGTGTGACGTCAGTGTGTTCTGCAGTGCGAGGGAAGGGTGTGTGTGACGTCGGTGTGTTCTGCAGTGCGAGGGAAGGGTGTGTGTGACGTCAGTGTGTTCTGCAGTGCGAGGGAAGGGTGTGTGTGACGTCAGTGTGTTCTGCAGTGCGAGGGAAGGGTGTGTGTGACGTCAGTGTGTTCTGCAGTGCGAGGGAAGGGTGTGTGTGACGTCAGTGTGTTCTGCAGCGCGAGGGAAGGGTGTGTGTGACGTCGGTGTGTTCTGCAGTGCGAGGGAAGGGTGTGTGTGACGTCAGTGTGTTCTGCAGTGCGGGGGAAGGGTGTGTGTGACGTCGGTGTGTTCTGCAGTGCGGGGGAAGGGTGTGTGTGACGTCAGTGTGTTCTGCAGTGCGAGGGAAGGTTGTGTGTCACGTCGGTGTGTTCTGCAGTGCGGGGGAAGGGTGTGTGTGACGTCGGTGTGTTCTGCAGTGCGAGGGAAGGGTGTGTGTGACGTCGGTGTGTTCTGCAGTGCGAGGGAAGGGTGTGTGTGACGTCAGTGTGTTCTGCAGTGCGAGGGAAGGGTGTGTGTGACGTCAGTGTGTTCTGCAGTGCGAGGGAAGGGTGTGTGTGACGTCAGTGTGTTCTGCAGTGCGAGGGAAGGGTGTGTGTGACGTCAGTGTGTTCTGCAGTGCGAGGGAAGGGTGTGTGTGACGTCGGTGTGTTCTGCAGTGCGAGGGAAGGGTGTGTGTGACGTCAGTGTGTTCTGCAGTGCGAGGGAAGGGTGTGTGTGACGTCAGTGTGTTCTGCAGTGCGAGGGAAGGGTGTGTGTGACGTCGGTGTGTTCTGCAGTGCGAGGGAAGGGTGTGTGTGACGTCGGTGTGTTCTGCAGTGCGAGGGAAGGGTGTGTGTGACGTCAGTGTGTTCTGCAGTGCGAGGGAAGGGTCTGCAGTGCGAGGGAAGGGTGTGTGTGACGTCAGTGTGTTCTGCAGTGCGAGGGAAGGGTGTGTGTGACGTCGGTGTGTTCTGCAGTGCGAGGGAAGGGTGTGTGTGACGTCGGTGTGTTCTGCAGTGCGAGGGAAGGGTGTGTGTGACGTCGGTGTGTTCTGCAGTGCGAGGGAAGGGTGTGTGTGACGTCGGTGTGTTCTGCAGTGCGAGGGAAGGGTGTGTGTGTGACGTCAGTGTGTTCTGCAGTGCGAGGGAAGGGTGTGTGTGACGTCGGTGTGTTCTGCAGTGCGAGGGAAGGGTGTGTGTGACGTCGGTGTGTTCTGCAGTGCGAGGGAAGGGTGTGTGTGACGTCGGTGTGTTCTGCAGTGCGAGGGAAGGGTGTGTGTGACGTCGGTGTGTTCTGCAGTGCGAGGGAAGGGTGTGTGTGACGTCGGTGTGTTCTGCAGTGCGAGGGAAGGGTGTGTGTGACGTCAGTGTGTTCTGCAGTGCGAGGGAAGGGTGTGTGTGACGTCGGTGTGTTCTGCAGTGCGAGGGAAGGGTGTGTGTGACGTCGGTGTGTTCTGCAGTGCGAGGGAAGGGTGTGTGTGACGTCGGTGTGTTCTGCAGTGCGAGGGAAGGGTGTGTGTGACGTCGGTGTGTTCTGCAGTGCGAGGGAAGGGTGTGTGTGACGTCAGTGTGTTCTGCAGTGCGAGGGAAGGGTGTGTGTGACGTCAGTGTGTTCTGCACTGCGAGGGAAGGGTGTGTGTGACGTCAGTGTGTTCTGCAGTGCGAGGGAAGGGTGTGTGTGACGTCGGTGTGTTCTGCAGTGCGAGGGAAGGGTGTGTGTGACGTCGGTGTGTTCTGCAGTGCGAGGGAAGGTGTGTGTGTGACATCAGTGTGTTCTGCAGTGCGAGGGAAGGGTGTGTGTGACATCAGTGTGTTCTGCAGTGCGAGGGAAGGTGTGTGTGTGACGTCGGTGTGTTCTGCAGCGCGAGGGAAGGTGTGTGTGTGACGTCGGTGTGTTCTGCAGTGCGGGGGAAGGGTGTGTGTGACGTCGGTGTGTTCTGCAGTGCGGGGGAAGGGTGTGTGTGACGTCGGTGTGTTCTGCAGTGCGAGGGAAGGTGTGTGTGTGACATCAGTGTGTTCTGCAGTGCGAGGGAAGGGTGTGTGTGACATCAGTGTGTTCTGCAGTGCGAGGGAAGGTGTGTGTGTGACGTCGGTGTGTTCTGCAGCGCGAGGGAAGGTGTGTGTGTGACGTCGGTGTGTTCTGCAGCGCGAGGGAAGGGTGTGTGTGACGTCGGTGTGTTCTGCAGTGCGAGGGAAGGGTGTGTGTGACGTCAGTGTGTTCTGCAGCGCGAGGGAAGGGTGTGTGTGACGTCGGTGTGTTCTGCAGTGCGAGGGAAGGGTGTGTGTGACGTCGGTGTGTTCTGCAGTGCGAGGGAAGGGTGTGTGTGACGTCAGTGTGTTCTGCAGTGCGAGGGAAGGGTGTGTGTGACGTCGGTGTGTTCTGCAGTGCGAGGGAAGGGTGTGTGTGACGTCAGTGTGTTCTGCAGTGCGAGGGAAGGGTGTGTGTGACGTCGGTGTGTTCTGCAGTGCGAGGGAAGGGTGTGTGTGACGTCAGTGTGTTCTGCAGTGCGAGGGAAGGGTGTGTGTGACGTCAGTGTGTTCTGCAGTGCGGGGGAAGGGTGTGTGTGACGTCGGTGTGTTCTGCAGTGCGAGGGAAGGGTGTGTGTGACGTCAGTGTGTTCTGCAGTGCGAGGGAAGGGTGTGTGTGACGTCAGTGTGTTCTGCAGTGCGAGGGAAGGGTGTGTGTGACGTCGGTGTGTTCTGCAGTGCGAGGGAAGGGTGTGTGTGACGTCGGTGTGTTCTCACCGTGAGCAGGTACTCCACGGCGCGGTCCGGATTGTTGAAACTGGCCCTCAGTGCCGCCACAACTCTGTCCCGCTCGTATCCCATCAACATGATCTCCGTCACCATGTTCTCGTAGGACTGCCCCGTCACTGCACACACACACACACACACACACACATGCATCAGCTGAGCACGAGGACACACAGATGTGAACGCGAGCGTGTGTGTGGATTTACCCAGCGCAGACGTCGCCTCCTCAAATATGTTTGCATTTGGCGAAGAATCCGAACTGTAAAGAGGAAACGGATAAACATTAATCCTGTTGAGGTTCAGTTTTCCATATTTGAGTTTAAAAGCCTAAATTGAATCTGGTGATCATATAAAGTGACGTGTCTCTCGGGTTAAACCGCTCCATATTTGACCATCTCTTTATGAACGTTTCCCAGCGGCAGAGGGACAGAAATCTCCCAGATCTCCATGTGTTCTCAGATGAACAGGAGTCTGTGGGACTGACACGAGCTCATGCTGAACTACCGCTCACTGCACCCAAAAGAGGATCAACGTGGCGTTTACATCGTGTGCTCGTTTAGTTTGGAATGGAATTTGGAAAAGAATAAAATGGAATTTGGGAAAGACTGAAATGGAATTTGGAAAAGAATAAAATGGAATTTGGAAAATAATAAAATGGAATTTGGGAAAGACTGAAATGGAATTTGGAAAAGAATAAAATGGAATTTGGGAAAGAATAAATGGAATTTGAGATAGATTAAAATGGAATTTGGAAAAGAATAAAATGAAATTTTGGAAAGACTGAAATGGAATTTGGAAAAGAATAAAATGGAATTTGGGAAAGAGTGAAATGGAATTTGGAAAATACTAAAATGGAATTTGGAAAAGACTAAAATGAAATTTGGGAAAGACTGAAATGAAATTTGGTGCTGACTAAAATGGAATTTGGGAAAGAATAAATGGAATTTGAGATAGACTAAAATGGAATTTGGAGAATAATAAAATGGAATTTGGAAAAGAATAAAATGGAATTTGGAAAAGAATAAAATGGAATTTGGAAAAGAATAAAATGGAATTTGGGAAAGAATAAATGGAATTTGGAAAAGAATAAAATGGAATTTGGAAAAGAATAAATGGAATTTGGAAAAGAATAAAATTGAATTTGGGAAAGAGTGAAATGGAATTTGGAAAATACTAAAATGGAATTTGGAAAAGACTAAAATGGAATTTGGTAAAGACTGAAATGAAATTTGGTGCTGACTAAAATGGAATTTGGGAAAGAATAAAATGGAATTTGGTAAAGGATTATATAGAATTTGGGCAAGACTAAAATGTTAGACTTTATGAATTTATAAGTGAACTATCGCTTTAATACATCAGAAAAATGTTCAACATCCTGTGTTTATTTAGTTTCCTCACATTATTTGTTTTAGAAGAGAAACTAGATCATCCAGCGACAGCATTCACATCTAATCAACAATAACTGAGTCTGTAACATCCGTGTGTGTGTGTGTGTGTGTGTGGGGGTGTGTGAGTGTGTGTGTGTATGTGTGTGTATGTGTGTCAGTGTGTGTGTGTCTGTGTGAGTGAGTGAGTGAGTGAGTGAGTGAGTGAGTGAGTGAGTGAGTGAGTGAGTGAGTGAGTGAGTGAGTGAGTGAGTGAGTGAGTGAGTGAGTGGGTGTGTGAGTGTGTGTGTGTATCAGTGTGTGTGTGTGTGTGTGTGTGAGAGTGTGAGTGTGCGAGCGAGTCAGTGTGTGTGTGAGAGTGTGTGTGTGTGAGTGAGTGAGTGTGTGTGTGTGAGTGTGTGCGAGTGAGTGAGTGTGTGTGTGTGCGAGTGAGTGAGTGAGTGTGTGTGCGAGTGAGTGAGTGAGTGAGTGAGTGAGTGAGTGTGTGTTGTTTTTGTGATTTATGAGGACAGATATTTGTATAAGGACATTTCCTGAGTCCTCGTATTTCAAATGGCTTTAAAAACATACTAAACAGTGTTTTATTAAAAATGTTAGTGTGTGTGTGTGTGCACCTGGCGGGTGTGGAGGAGGGCGCAGTGCTGCCGGCTGGTTTCTCCTCGGTGGGTTTGTCGTCTTTGGCCGGGGTCGAGGTCGGGGTTTCTGGGGTCGCAGTCGGGGTCGTCGCTGTAGTGATGGAGGAGGAGGAGGCGGAGCCGGTCGCCGTGGCAACAGATGAGGAGGAGGCGGATCCAGATGAAGATGAAGATGCAGGAGCCGCTTTAGGCTGCAGGAGACACATCACATTATATTTCATATAAACACACACACATCCACATTATCAACAACACATCACCATCTAGTGTTCAGGGAATTACAGCAGTAAGCAGAAATAGCCAATCGAAACAGAGCTCATTTACATCTAGATGTCTTAAAGCTACAGCAGCAGGAATGTTCAATTGTAAAGGTTCAAACTGTAAAATGGAATTTACTTTAGAATATTGAATGTCGGGGGTGGTCACGTGACCCAGAGCGAGATGGCTGCTTGAGTTCTCTGCTCCGCTCTTATGTTTATTTAATTTGCATTTTTTCCCTCCAAATCTATCGCTCTATTTCATTTAAGGACCGTCAGTTATGTCTGACCCCAGTTTGGACAAAGAATTTCCGATTTTCGGATCAACACGTTCGCAGAAAGCAAAAGAAAAGGACAAAAAGAAGACCACTTATTCCTCGTCGTCAACAGAAGCTATTGCTAATGAAACAAGAGGCCCAATCGGACATGGCGCTGATACTCTCTGAAATAAAAGCCAACGGTTCTCGTCTCGATGGGATAACTAATCGGCTGGAGGAAATAGCTGGATCAGTTTCCTCGTTGCAAAACTCTTTCGCGGCCCTCACTGAGAGGATCGAGGGTATTGAGACCCGTCTAACTGAGGCTGAGGGGAGGATCTCTTCCGCGGAAGACTCGGCGGCAGTGTCCGAGGGCCAACTTGCTAACTTACTGACTAAGGTGGAACAACTTCAGTCAAAAGTGGACGATTTAGAGAACAGAGGTCGTCGAAAGAATTTGAGAATAGTTGGTCTACCTGAAGGAGCGGAAGGCTCTGGTTCGCTCGCGTCGCTTCTCCGTTCCTCTATCCCCAAATGGCTGGATTTGCCCGCGGACTCTCTCGCCTTGGATATTGAGAGGGCTCATCGATCTCCTACTTTTGAGACTGGTAATCTGAACTCATCACTGAGGAGTGTTCTGATTCGTTTTCTACGGTTTACTGAAAAGGAAACTGTTCTCAGAGCAGCGTTGAAGAAGACGATTAACCACGAGGGCGCGGAGCTTCGGTTTTATTCGGACTTATCTACCAGTGTTCTGCAGAAGCGTCGCGAATTCAGCTCAGTGGTCAAGACTATGGCCTCTCGTGGCTTATATCGCGGATTCGCCTACCCTGCCCGGCTCAGGTGTTTACACATGGGGAAGATTCGCTTGTTCGATGATCCGAACTCGGCTAAAGCTTTTCTGGACTCTCTGGACAGATAACTCTGACCTGCTGTAATGTCCTCATTTCTTGGAGGATTATCTTTCTTTTTGAACTCACCAGACTTGTAAGTTTGGATTTTTATTTAAAACATTGACTTTTTCTTACTTTTTATTTAATTTAATTTTTATTTAATTTAATTTTTTATTATTATTATTTAATTTAAATGTTTGTATTTATTTATTCTTTGTATTAATTTATCAACATTTTTTTTAATTTTTTTTTATTTATTTTTTTATATATATATATCACTGTACTTCGCTGCTTTTAATATTCGTTATGTAGGATTGTTTTTCCTTCTAGACGCCGTAGTGACAAATTTATTTATTTATTTATTTATTTTTTAATCAGTGGGTTCAGTTATTTTAATCACGTATTCTATAGAGTATTATAGGAGCGATTCTTGAGGGGGCTATTTTTTCTCAGTGGCATCAGTATGATGACAGGTTTATTTATGTTCATCATCTTATTTTGTGACTGTTTGATGTTACCTGCGCCCTATCGTTTGGGGATGGGGCCTGGGGGGGTGGGTTTATTCGGGGTAACTCAGTGTTCAATACGTGGTACTGTTCTGTTCAAATTTGGTGTCTTTTATGTGCGAGATTTACTTTTGCCAGCTCATCAGCATCTTAACATTTTATTTTGGGTCTTTTTCATATGCATGGTATTGTTAAGCTTGTAACTTGGAATGTGAAGGGTATCGGCCATGTTATAAAGAGGAAGAAAATTTTGACATTTCTTAAAAAAGAGCACGTATCCATCGCTCTGTTGCAGGAAACCCATTTGTCGGACACTGAACATTGTAAACTCAAAAGGGACTGGGTTGGTAAGGTATATTACTCTTCTTTTACATCGAACAGCAGAGGTGTAGCAATTTTAATTCACAAGAACATCCCATTCAGTCTGGATTATGTAGAGTCTGACTCTGAAGGGAGGTTTGTATTAGTTTCAGGCTATATTTTTGGTGTACATCTCACTATTGGAAATGTATATGCCCCAAATACTGACTGCCCCAGTTTTATATCCCAGACAATTTTGCAGTTTAACCGGTTTTGTGGAAACCTGGGGTTCTTGGGTGGTGATTTTAACTGCATAATGGATAGTAACCTGGATAAATCCCCCCCCCCCGCAGACCCTAACATGCCATAAATCCTCCCACTCTTTACGAAATGTTTGTAAAGATTTAGGCCTAGTAGATATTTGGAGGGAGCTGCACCCAAAAGACAGAAATTATACATTTTATTCTCATCCTCATAATTCTTACTCTAGGTTGGATTACTTCTTTACACCATCTGAATGTATTCACCAAGTGAAGTCTTGCCATATTGGCCCTATTGTTTTGTCCGACCATAGCCCTGTCTACTTAGACCTTGATGTCAATGTGTCCATTCCTAAATCCAATTATTGGAAGTTTAATATTTCACATTTGAATAATGATGATTTTTGTATGTTCCTTAAGCAGAAAATAGTTAATTACTGGCAGGACAATCCAAACTCTCCTGTTTCCTCAGCGACAAAATGGGATGCTGCTAAAGCGGTTTTACGGGGCCACATTATATCCTATGCTTCCTTAGTGAATAAAGTCAAGACCCAAAAAAGGAGAGAATTGGAGGCCGAATTAAATCACTTAGAAAATCAACACAAACAAATACCAAATCAGACAAATTGGACTCATATGAACAGAGCCAGAGCTAGGTTAAATTTAGACCATACAGAGCATATTAAGAAATTACTATTTTTTAGTAAGCAAAAATATTACGAATTTGGAAATAAGCCCAGCCATTTACTTGCATATCAGCTAAAAAAAGCACAACAAGAGAGAGTTATAAAGGCAATCAGGACCCCAGAGGGCAGCGTATCTTTTGATCCCCAGATAATTAATGATACTTTTTCTGATTTTTATAGGACTTTATATAAAGCTGAGGACGAAGGAGCTTTGATGGGGGATCTATCAGATTATTTGCGTAAGATTTCTCTTCCTGTTGTTTCTGAAACGAACAGAACTCTTTTAAATGCCCCTTTCACTCAGGAGGAAATTTGGCAAGCTATTCAATCGATGCCCTCAGGTAAAGCGCCGGGCCCAGACGGGTTCCCACTCGAATTTTACAAGCAATTCTGGCAGGATATAAGCCCAATCTTAATGCCGGCAATTAATAACCTTTTTGAGTTAAATTTAATTCCTGATTCTTGGTTCTCTGCCGTCATTAGTCTCATTTTTAAAAAAGACAAAGACCCGTTGGATTGCTCTTCTTACCGCCCGATTAGTTTATTGAATGTAGATTATAAAATTGTGGCTAAAACAATGGCTCGCCGCCTTGAATCTGTCCTTCCTTCTGTCGTTTCGCCGGACCAGACCGGATTTGTAAAATCTAGATATGGCTCTGATAATATTCGTAGATTATTGAATATTCTAGATCATGTACATGTGACCAAAGACCCCACTTTAATTGTGTCGCTTGATGCCGAAAAGGCATTCGATAGGGTGGGATGGCCTTTCCTTTTCGCTGTATTAGAGAGGATAAACCTAGGACATAATTTCATTAACTTGATTAAATTGTTATATTCCCAGCCAATGGCGGTAGTTAATACAAACCGGTTAATGTCTAGTAGATTTCCTGTTGGCAGAGGATGCCGTCAAGGCTGCCCTCTCTCACCTCTCTTATTTTCTTTGGTCATCGAACCCCTGGCTGCAGTAATGAGGGCAAATACAAGCATACTGGGTATTCGAGTTGGCTCAGATGAGCATCGTATTTCACTTTATGCCGACGATGTGCTATTATATTTTAAGTACCCTGAGACTTCGGTTGATGCAATTCTTTCCATTATCAGAGAATATAGCACATTTTCAGGATATAAAATTAACCTAAATAAATCTCAGGCCTTGTACTTGTATGCTCCCCCTGAAGCTGGTTTGGGTTCCCCGTTTCGTCTAGCTCCTTCTGGTTTTCAATATCTGGGAATAAATGTTACACCTGATTTGTGTGATTTATTCAAAGCTAATTACACCCCATTAATTACCAAAATTAGCCAGGACTTGTCCGACTGGTCAAATATCCCCATTTCATTTCTGGGCAAGATTAATGTAATAAGGATGAACATTCTTCCCAGACTGAACTTTCTATTTCAAAGTTTGCCCTGCTATTTGACTGTTGCTTTCTTTAAAAAGGTAAATTCTATCATATCAAAATTCATCTGGAATAAAAAAAAAGCCTAGACTCAAATTTTCTACCTTACTGAAACCCAGGGAACTGGGAGGGGTCTCACTCCCTAACTTCCAGTTATATTTTTGGTCTGCTCAGATAAAAAATATGATCAATTGGTTTCTTAATAGATTGGATTCATGTTGGGTAGGAATTGAGTCTTCGAGATGTTTCCCAAACTTGTTATGCACTTTACCATTTATTTACAGTGTACATAAAATCGAATCAGTGTCCAATATTTATACGGTATCAAACACTCTCCTGGCTTGGAAAGACGTTTTGAAGTATCTGAATATTCCACATATTTTATCTTTAAAATCTCCTATTTCATTCAACCCTGACCTACCCCCTGCTATTCAGAACATTGGTCTTCGATCATGGAGACTAAGGGGAATTTTGGAGCTGGACCAGTTATTTGACAAGGGCAATCTAAAATCATTTCAGTTGTTAAAACAGCAATTTAACTTACACAATAATGATTTCTACAAATTCTTGCAACTACGACATTTTCTGGAATCACTTTTAAAGGACAATAGAATACGCTTTGATCTTTCTGATATAGAAAAACAATTGCATTCTTCTATTTCCCTCAAAAGGAAGATTTCTGCTTTTTATTCTATATTATCTAATGTCGGGCCTTCCTCCTTTGACCCTCTGAAACTGATATGGGAAAAAGACTTTGAAACAAATTTCAGTGATGAGGCGTGGTTATCGGTATGCTCCGGTGTCTTTTTTAGAGGAGCCTCTATATTGAATCATGAGCAAAACTTTAAGTTCATTTACAGGACTTATTTAACACCGGCTCGTCTCCATAAGATTTTCCCTAATGTCTCCCAATTGTGTTTCAAGTGTAAGTCTAATATTGGCACAGTGATGCATACGTTTTGGAGCTGTGACATGATTAAGGTGTACTGGAAAGAAATACATAAAATTGTTCAGAGGATTATTGGTAAATCTTTTGCTCTATCTCCGAGTATCTATCTCCTGAACTATAAAGCTGAATTGCACCTCAACCATGATCTAGAATGTGTTTTATATCTTTGTACCTACTTAGCGAGGAAATGTATACTCCTGTTGTGGTCCACTCCTCATGTCCCTTCTGTTAATATGTGGATGAATCAAATTGCTATTTTCCTTCCCTTAGAAAAGCTAACTTGTGACTTACGCCGGAGGTCTAATGATTTCTGGTGTATTTGGTCCCCTCTCTGGAATTTTCTTGAAAATGACTGTTGAATGTGTTTAATTCTTCACTCTTGCTGTTTTTTTTTTGTTTTTTCTACTACCCTTCACTCGATCCTTTAACTACCAGTTGATGGATGATTGTATGTGCTGTAGGGGTGTAACGATACACAAAATTGACGGTTCGGTTTTCCCACGGTTTTGACGTCTCGGTTCGGTTCGGTTCGGTTTAGAAAGCTAAAATTGCTTCTTTTTTTCTTTTTTTTTAAACAGTGGTTTAACGAAAAAATGGTCTTTCTTTAAATTAATTCAATTACAATTAAACGTTTCACAATGATTAAAAAAAAATCGGCTAAATCTGTAAACTATATAGGGAGCCGCACATTACTATAACATTAAAGGTTGTAGCCTAGACTTTTAACCTAAATTCAGATGCTATTTATTTTTTAGATATAATAATCAACACACAACACATTGTATGAAAACATGTAAACTGAACATAAGGCAGTTTTTGCATTAACTTGTGTTTTTACTCTAATTTGTTATTGAAATATAATACTTTACACAGTTTTCATTTTCATGAAAGATATTTTAAACATACATTAAATAATCAAGATATCATTAACAGGTTAAGTAAAATATAATATATAGGCTAACATGGTGCATTTATTTAGTGCAAGAGTTCATTTATAGGAACCAAAGTTGTGGACACTGAATCACTTGCCTGTTGAGGTAAATATAATGCTAGTGACAAGCTATGCTGTTTTATTGACGTCTTTCCGCTGCTGAAACACTGATTGAGCGATTACACTAGTTATGATGCCTTTCAGTAAGTATACTGCATCTTTCAACATACCTTCAGGTGTCCATTCTGTAACTGAGGAAGAGATGATCGCGTTTACCCGCGCGCCGCGCTGCCGTTTGAAATGAGGAGCTTAGTAGGCATACAGCGATCTGTCACGCCACATCAAAGAGCGCCAAAACGCCATTTATTGTTTGAATTTCGTGATCAAATAGACAGAATTTGAAAGATTACATCTTGCTTATTATCGAAAGTAACAAAACACGGAGCTTGTTATTTGGTGTTAATGGTGGTTATTAGGCTACAAAACTGAATTTGTTGTGTACTGTACACAAGACATGAGGTCCATTGAGCCGGGCTGGGCGGGGCCGGGGTAGCAGGGGGCGGGGAGGGGCGTGTTCGGTACGCAATGAGAGTATCGCGATTCGAATCATGTGTTCTGTATCGCGGTTTTTCAAAAAAAAAAAAAAAAAAAATAGAATATTGAATGTCAAGGAATTTGGCATATCGTGGATGAATAGATCAACACGTAACATTTTAAGAATTAAATTAATGTTTTATGTCTTCGTTAGATTACCACCATTTTTGAAACATTTCAAAGGGCCCTATTATTGTAAAAAATTTACTAAATTATTCAAGTTTTATAAATTTAATTGATTAGAAAAGTTTTTTGTTTTGTTTTTGTTTTTATGTAATTAAACCATTAAAACTGATCCATAGACTAGAACAGAACAAATGGAATTGGGGAAAGACTAAAATGGAATTTGCGAAAGACTAAAATGGAATTTGGGAAAGACTAAAATGGAATTCGGGAAAGACTAAAATGGAAATTGGGGGAAAGACTAAAATGGAAATTGGGAAAGACTAAAATAGAATTCAGGAAAGACTAAAATGGAATTCGGGGAATTCGGGAAAGACAAAAATGGAATTCGGGAAAGACAAAAATGGAATTCGGGAAAGACTAAAATGGAATTCGGGGAAAGACTAAAATGGAATTCGGGGAAAGACTAAAATGGAATTCGGGGAAAGACTAAAATGGAATTCGGGAAAAGACTAAAATGGAATTTGGGAAGAATTAAAATGGAATTTGGGAACGAATAAAATGGAATTTCAACAGTATTATATGATGCTGTGATGCTTGATTTAGATCCAAAAAAATGTCCTCTATCTCAAAGACAAAGACTTTTCTTTTTACTCCACCGACTTCCATTAACATATTTGTGTTTTCAGAATTCCTCTTTAATAATTCAGCATGTTTCAGACTCCAACACATCATAAATGTCTCACCTTTGCTACCATAACCACCACGAAGTTCTTCTCATCTATCTTGTACTCCTTGAGCGCCGTGTCATCGTTCAAAATTTTGCCTGGAGTAGGACACAAAATAATGGAAACAAACGTCCCGTTATTCATCAGCCAGCAGCTCTCGCGTCTGAATCTGACAGCTGTCAGTCATCCATCAAACGAAGCCGCTGCATTTCACATCATCTTAGAGCTCCTAGAACCCTTATCAGCCGGAAACAGCCGTCCAAACACCATTACACCTTATCACACGTATGACGTACCTGCGTATATCAGCTTCTGTCCCGCCACCGGAAAGCCATCTTTTCCCTTTTCATTCTCGATTTTTTCCTTTAAGGCTTTTACCTGTGAAAGACAGAGCGGGAGAAAGCAAATCAGAGTCTGAGAAGAGAAAAAGAGAGCAATACTGTGATCCGGTTTCAGCAAAACCACTGTGAAGCCGCCTCACGCAGCTCGTTAGTTCAGAGTAAACGAGTCCGGATCCAAAACACAGATTCCAGTCCGTCTAATCTGATCATGCAGACTAAAGCTCCTACCTGTCGCCTTGACTGCACTTCCACTAGTGGGTGAGGATAAAGCTTAGGGCCGCACGATCATTAATCACGATTATTCGGATCAAAAATTATAATCACGTTAATTCTCGTTGGCTATTGACTTCATTAAACCAATCATAGCTTCATCACATGGGAAATTAATACGAGTTTGATTTTGATTTCAAAATTTGATACGAGTAAATTGAACGCTACTTACCATAATATATTTGGTAAGTGTTTGTAAATCACATTAGATATTTTATGAGAAGCAATTCAGTTGCACATGAGACCAGATTCAGATTGCTTTGAACATGCAAATTTGTACTTAGAAATGGCTAAACCCTGCGAACAGACACGCTTTACATTATTAAACTGGTATAACCTTCAGACGCCAAAACTTCATGCCATCTGTTACATTTCTACTGTTGTGTTGCAGCACAAAGTTTGTCATTCACCAAGCATGGTCAAGATTCATGTTTGGATTTATTACAGGTTCTTTTCGCAGATTTAACAGCAGCAAACAGCTTTAAAGGGTTAGTTCACGCAAAAATGAAGTTTCTGTCATTAATTACTACCCTCATGTCGTTCCAGACCCGTAAGACCTTCATCTTTAGATCACAAATGAAGATGTTTTGATGAAATCTGAGAGGTTTTGATCCTCCATAGACAGACTCCAGTGGTTCAACCTTAATGGCAAAACCCCCCAAAATAACGACTTTATTCAACAATATTTTGGGGGTTTTGCGCACAAAAAGTATTCTTATCGCTTCATAACATTAAGGTCGAACCACTGGTTCAGATTTAGCAGCAGCAAACAGCTTTAAAGTGTCATTTTAACTTCGTTAAAATGGTCCATGTGCCTCCAGTGGTTCAACCATAATGTTATGAAGTGACAAGAATACTTTTTGTGCGTAAAACCCCCAAAATATTATTGAATAAAGTCGTTATTTTGGGGGGTTTTGCCATTAAGGTTGAACCACTGTTTGTGTAATACTTTTTGACTTTATTCAACAATATTTTGGGGGGGTTTTGCGCACAAAAGTATTCTTGTCGCTTCATAACATTAAGGTTGAACCACTGGAGTCACATGGACCATTTTAACGATGTTTTACTTTCTTGGCCTTGAAAGTCGCACTGATTTATGCTTCTGTCTATGGAGGATCAAAATATCTTCATTTGTGATCTAAAGATGAAGGTCTTACGGAAATGGAACGACATGAGGTGAGTAAATAATGACAGAAACTTCATTTTTGCGTCAACTATCCCATAAAATCAGAATCAACATCGCTAAACTCAGATGTACATGTTTGCTGTGTCGGACCATCAGCACAGAGAAAGCAAAGGTTGCCAGACGGAGAAGAGTGAGTCAAACACTGTGTCCTTTTAAGAGGAAAGCTTCATTCGGAGGATTTATTGTCCTGCAATCTGGCAACCAGACATACGTGAAGGCTTGTTACCAATGCAAGATGATGCAAATGTCTGATACATTTTTTACGTTTTCAGGACAAATAATCAGCAGCGCAAATATTGTGATTATTTTTAAATCATCGACAAAAGCACAACATCGTTATCACGATAATAATACGATTAATCGTGCAGCCCTAATACAACTAGAACTGAATTGATCTGAATACTGTCGGTAATACCAATAATAATGGACTTATTGGAGCTAGTTATGGGGGGAAATGGCATATTTATGGTTTTGCTTTCCTGGGAAAGACCATTTCTAAGAATAATCCGTTCCAAAAGGCCTGATCAACAGGAAGTGATGCGTAAACCCAGCGAGCGTCTTCCTTCCTAAAGCTCCAGCTGACTTATTTACGTGTCATTTGGTTTATAAAAAGCTTTTTCAAGGGGCTTATGGGTAATAATACAACTCTATATAGCACATCTAGTTGAATAATAATAAATAATATGAAATGAATGATAATAAAAATGAAATGAATGTATAATAAATTAATGCCCAAAACATCCACCCTATTAGTCAAGTCAGTTTTATTTCTATAGCGCTTTATACAGTACAGATGTTGCAAAGCAGCTTTACAGTAATAAACAGGACAATAACAGAATCAGTGATGCAAACTAAGACAAATTCAAAAGTGTCATCATTTCAGATCAATTCAGCTCAAGTTTTGTTCTCATCTGATAGTGTCAGTAATACACAAACATGAACAGCAGTGTGCAGTAATCTCTTAAAGGGACAGTTCACCCAAACATTTAAATTATCCCATAATTTACTCTCTCAAGCCATCCTAAGTGTACAGGTGACACTCGGAAAATTAGAATATCGTGCAAAAGTTCATTCATTTCAGTATTCAACTTAAAAGGTGAAACTAATATATTATATAGATTCATTACATGCAAAGTGAGATATTTCAAGCCTTTATTTGTTATAATTTTGATGATTATGGCTTATAGTTTATGAAAACCTTTTCACAATATTCTAATTTTGAATTTGGGGTTTTCATAAGCTGTAAGTCATAATTATCACAATTATAACAAATGAATGAGGCATTTATTTAGCGCTTTCATATGTACAAATAAAGGCTTGAAATATCTCACTTTGCATGTAATGAGTCTATATATTAGTTTCACCTTTTAAGTTGAATTACTGAAATAAAAGAACTTTTGCACGATATTCTAATTTTTTTAGTTTCACCTGTATATGACTTTCCTCTTTAAGGCCAGACAAGTCACTTGGTGAGGTCAATTTGTAGAGAAACTACTCTATATGGAGACGTATGGATTACTTTTATGATGATGGATGCACTTATTTTTGGCCTTCAAAAGCTCAGGCTCGATTCACTCCCATTATAAAGCTCGGAAGAGCAGGATATTTTTTGATAGAACTCAGTGTTCATCTGAAAGAAGAAAGTCATATACACCTAGGGTGGCTTGAGAGTTATTAAATCATGGGGTAATTTTCATTTTGGCGTGAACTAACCCTTTAATTGGCCAACAGGGACCAAAAGACAAAGACTAGCAATAGATCGAGATCACGCCACAGTCACGTGACTACCAGCACACATGAGAAAACAGACAGAAACACAATCTGTGATGAAAAGTCACTGGGTAACATTAAAGTAACAGTAAAGCCAGCACCAGTGACCTTTCATCAATGCTCTTATGAGGCCAAACTAAACCAACTGATATGGGAAAATCCCCATCTAGAGGACACCAGCACGGCAGCCTGATGAACACATTCGCTGACTGCGGGCAATAAAACGTGTTAGCAATCCAATACTGAAGCACTTTCGTACAAAATATACCGAATTCTGTCGTTTCGATGTCTGGAAAACACATAAATCATATTAATGGACCCGACACACACAGATAGTTGTGTGTGTGTGTTTATATGAACCTCTCTCACACACTAAAAACATGCGTTAAACCATTTACAACACCACAGCATGACTTGCTAAAACACTCAAATTACCCATTAATTGTCTGCCTTGCCCTTTTAAAAGGTCATATTGGCGTTTAAAAGTTAATTGCAGAGATTTAGAAGTAGTCGTAATATCGCGTGTCTTATTTAGAAAACTTTAAGTATGTTTCGACTAAAGTAAAAACTAATTTTACGAGCAGCTAATATGCTAATGCTAAAACGGTTCACATAACTCCGTAAACACCCAACAGCGCCGCGCGCACACAGAAACGCATCTAGTGTGGCCATATAAAGCATATAAGTATAATTCTGATGTGGTTGAGTGGCTTAATGGAGTGTTTTCGTGTGTTTTAGTGACATCGCTGACAGAAATCCGTTAGCTGTTAGCCGCTAGCAGCGCGCGCTCCTCTCACGCGGGCGTCTCTCACCGTCTCCTCCGCGTCGATGTCGATTTTAAACGTCTGCTGCTGGAGGGTTTTCAGCGTGATCTGCATCTTCACGTTCGTCCGTGTCGCCGGTGTGGAAACTGATCGAGGGCTGGATCGCTGGATGTGTGTTTTTCGCCGTGGCTCATCACAACCTGATCGCCGCCATTACGCGCATAAACACTCGACGGCCCGGCCCCCCTCGCGCCACACGGCGCATGCGCAGCGATTGCGTCACTGCAAACAGGGCTGCTGGGAAATTGAGTTTTTCAACAGTTGTTGAATATAAAAAATGCCGTTTTCTTATGGTATACTAAACGTTATCAGGATCTCATTATGGAGAAGGACCAAACCTGCAGAAGTTAAAAATGAATGAATGAATAAATAAATAGATAAATGAATAAATAGATAAATAAATGTGATAATAGGAAAATAAATAAAGCAATAAACCACTTAATAAAACAAATATTATTCATTTTTAATCAAATTAATTTTTGTATTATTTTTTCCCCTAATTTATTGGGGTTTTTTTTGCTTTTATTCTTTTAAATTTTATTTATTTATTATTATTTTTAATTTTCAATGTATTTATTTATTTTTATTTATTTATGCATTCATTTTTATTTTATTTTTATTCCCACACGTATTAATTTTTTTTATTATTATTATTCATTTATATATTTGTTTAATCATTTATTTATTATTTATTATTTTCTGCAGGTTTGGTCCTCTATAATGAGACCCTGATAACGTTTAGTATACTCAATCAGGGTGATTGCATTGAAATAAAACTGGTTGATTTGAAATAAATCTTAGGGTTAACCCTAACCTGGCAATTGGCATCATCAGTAGTCGATGCGTTGCATGTTTTCAAAGCTTCCATTGCTGCACTCCTCGAGCGAATGGAAAGAGTGGAAAAGCAACAGATGCACAAACAACAGGAGCCTCAAACACTCCCATGTTTACGTCACTGAGTGACTCAACCTGAGGCTCAAACTGCCAAGAGACCCTGGGAATCAGGCAGGAACACAAATAATCCTGCAGTCAATAATCACGTAATATCTAAAACGGAAATATACACTCCATTCATTTTCTCCATAGAGACACTGATTTTTAACAATAACTTATAAACCTTTAAAGTCAGTCCTACTGTGAGCTACGAGGCTGTTAATCGATGGGGTTTGCTTCTGCTTCACATTATTTCAACTCAGTTTTTTAAATAATAGTGTTTAAAAGCTGAATTTGTGGTGAAAAACTACATTACCCATGATGCTGTGCTACAAATTCCACCAATCAGAGAGTCGCTGTGAGTAAATGCACCAAAAGAGCTGGTTAGCTCCGCCCACTAACCATGAAGCACTGCGAATGAGTCGATGTCCCTCCGCTCTCAAAATATTTGAATATATGCATATTTTGCAATAAACTTCAAATCTATTGTTTACACATACACACATATAAATATGAAGAGTTCAGATGCAAAAGCCTCTCAAGTGCCATCTGAAATGTTCTCCTAGAATGATAATTTTTATCAAGCTCGAATATTTAAATTCAGTAATTTCACTTAAATGACAATTAATAGGTAATTACTGAACTTAAATATACGAGCTTGATCAAAATGGTCATTCTAGAAGAAAATTTCATGGCACTTAGAGGCTTTTGGATCTGAACTCTTCATATATAGGCTATATACGTATATATAAACAACATTTTTAAATGAGTAGGTTTATATCGATCCATCTTTTTTAATTTAATTTTGCTGTTCGCAATGCATCGTGGGATTGATTGTAGTTCTCACTAAAGCTGATAAATTCACATTCTTGTATTTTTGTCTGATTTTCAAATGCGTTTTTTCTTCTAATTAACGTTTGCAATGTTGTTATTCTCGTTGTAGCTTATTGTTTTTTTGTATTGCTTATAATGCTTTAACAAAGCCCTTTTTTAAATCCCTATGGAGAAATGAATGGAAAAAATACTTCCGGAACCAACCCCTAAAACAAACTCCCGGAAAAACGTTTGTTCATAACTTTAAGAGAGCTAGAATGTTCTGAGAATGTTCCCGGTTTGCTGGCATGACACATAATGTAGTTTAGATTAATAATTAATATGCATTGCATAAATGATTGTCAATGCCGGCTGAAGTGTCGTTCAGTAGACTAGACTGATACTAATGCGTGATGCGTTTGCAGAAAGTCCACAGAGTCCGAGAACAATGAATTATTCAACAGGGAGATTTGTCACAGGTTTTAATCAAATATGCAAGTTTTACCCTGAAGGACGTGACCCGGGATCACACACTTCACCTCGACCACAGTTCAAGCGAACGGGTGAATCCGGCCAGCTTTACCGCCGTCGAGTAAGCCTGATGTGTGCTTTATCTTATGTGCTACACAAGGTGCAAAACATGTGTCACAGAAGAAAGAAAGGACATGACGGAGCAAATGAGGATATTGATCATTTGCGGTGATTTATTCACTGAAAAAAAATCTAAATAAGTTTAGGATTTACTTGATAAATCCTCGTAACAATTTGCATTACATTTTTACTGCCACTGCTCTGTACAACTGACCTGTTATTGAACTTAACATTCATGAAGTAAATAAGTAAATATTACTTTATTATATAGAATTTCTTTAATTTCCAATATAGAGTTAACTAAAATCTACTTAAGTAAATTCAACAAAATTAACCTTTCATCAAAATCTTTGCGTGACACACTGACATTACAGTTCAGATCGACTCTTTTGCTGAACATTGTATAAGCATTCTTGACAGAAGAACTATTAAAGAAAAATAACTTCTTTTTTTTCATTCAGCAGAATTAATCATGCTTTTTTTTTCTAAAATCCCTATGGGAGAAATTAATAGAAAAAAATACTTTAGGAACCAACGCCTCTGAAAAAGTGGGCGGGCACTAATGCACTATTAACGTTACGGGAAGAACGTTTGTTCATAACTATACGAGAATAATGTTTGTTCATAACTATACGAGAATAATGTTTGTTCATAACTGTACGAGAATAATGTTTGTTCATAAAAATAAAAATAAATTAATTCAGCAGAGTTAATAACTTAAATGCATAAAGGTAAACGCATTAAAACACACAGAACCGGCAGTAGAAACGCACTGGTTTGCTCGTGTTTTCTTCACTGAAGTGAAGTGGGGATATTCCTGAGGAACGTGTGGTTCTCTTCTCTCTTCTTTGTCTGTGTCGAGGGTCTCCAGGGTCTCCTTCCTTCCACAGAAACACTCTGATGTTCTGATCCGATGATCCCTCATGTCTAGCAGATATTTTTAAAAGATGATGTTATAGCTGTGAAATAAAAGCAGCTCTGGAAACTTCTGCGGGGTCACACGTGATGTCTTCATATCAGCATCTGCTCAAACGGGCTGCATGTTTATATGCATTTCAAATATTTGATACGCTGGTCATAGCAGTGATGTGCCCAAAACACCCAATGCCTTTACAGAAATCTGGTTTGATCATTTACTGGTGCATCATTACATTTGCTTAATAGCCTATTTATTTTTTAAGATTCTCTCAATGTTATGAACAAACGTTCTTCCAGTAACGATCGTTCAAAGTTATCTGGTCTTTAATAATGTTATGAAAACGCTAGTACAAAAACATCATTTATACATCGTTCATGGAGCATTTTTCCTGAAATGTTTCAGTTGGACGTTTTTTTAAACGTCACTGTTTTCGAATGTTGCGTTCAAAAGTATTGAAATCTTTGAAGAATGATACAATGTTCCATTTCAAGAACTTTTTAAACATTTCAAATTCTTGAACATTCAGAGAATATTTAAATAACGAATTTCATAACTTAATGGGAACGTTATACATATTTTTGTAAAGATGATTTGAATAAGAGCGTCTAGTAAATGTAAGTACATTTTCCTTTCATTTTGTTTAAATAAAATGTTCAAAAAACATTTTAAGGGTTTTCATGAATTGGAATCATATATTTTATATGATTATACACTCCAAAAAAATCTAGGTTGTTTTGGGTAAAATATGGACAAACCCAGCCATTGGGTTACATTTTTAAATTACATTTTTAACCCAAAGTTTGAGTTTGTCCATATTTGACCCAAAATTGGGTTAAAACAACCCAGCATTTTTTTTAGTGTATGAATACATATATATGATTCCAATTCATCATATGATTAATCATATTTATAAATACATGTTTTTTGGTTTTCTTATCAAACTAAAAAATGGCTTTCTGCGTGCTTAATTTGATGAACAAAATGATTTAAAATAATAATTGTAATAAAATAATGTAATAAAACTTTACAAGAAGGTCTCATCTGAACAATATCCACTAAAGCTCCTCATGATGCCTTGGAGGTCAAACGTTCTTCATCTGATGCGCAGTGTGTGTGTGTGTGTATCCTCCAGTCAGAAACACTGGGACTGCAGATCGAGTCTCATGGGAAGCGCTGGACTCTGTGGGATTTATCCGGGGTTTCCTCTGACCTCTGACCTCTGACACTGGATCCGGGAAACACCAAAACTGCATTGTATTTCAACACTGTTTCCTTGAACACGAGCGTTTATTTCTCTCCTCGCTTTATAATAACACTGACACTCCACAGGGGGTTTCCAAGATAAAGATGAATGTCAAATGTAGGAAATATGTCCTTAAATCATTGAGTTTTGAGTAAATATTCTCTGTTCTGATTAAACTGTGGAGAAATGCTTCTAATAGTTCTCAGACAAGAAAATATAATCTATTTGTGTTGGTTTGTTTGTAAATATTTGTTTTTGTTGGTCAATGTTCTCTCGATGTTCCCATAATGTTTGAAGAAAAATCAAGAAAACAAGTTTGAAAACATTCAAATAACTGGATGTAATGTAAATATAAATACATTTTCCTTTCATTTTGTTTAATCAAAATGTTCAAAAAACACATTTTCAGTTTTTTTTCTTCAAAATATCATGTTTTGGAAACACGTTTTATGGTTTTCTTATCACATAACAAAAAAAACGGCTTTCTGCGTGTTTGATTTAATGAACAAAATGATTTCAAATGATAATTGTAATAAAATAATTTAGTAAAACTTTACAAGGTGGTTTCATTTGTTGCATTTTTAACAAACAATGAGCAATATATGTTTACAACATTTATTAACCTTTGTTAATGTCAGTTAATATAAATGTTCATGTTACTTCACGGTGCTTATTGTAAAACAATAAGTAAATAAATGTGTAAAAACAATGTGTTTGACCACAAATAACTGAGTTTACTTCACACGCATGAACAGAAGACGACGGGAGCCGTGCGTTTAGGTTATCTGATAACTTTATTACCAAGTTAAAAAAAGACAATGAATTACAATATTTACAGAATATAGAGAAATCAAAGGAATAAAACTGTAAACAACCAGTCTAGTCGACATCACAACCCACCATCAGAAATCATCAGGAGTTTCACAGAGCCGAACGCAGAGATCTAAGGGCAACTATGGCCAAACCAGGAGAGCTAAAGCAGATATATACAGATATCCAGTGTGTCACACGAGTCTTAGAAGCTTATTCTGACGGTTTCTACACGGGCGTCTTTTAGAAAGGCTGGGCTACTCCTTATGAAGGGCTTTAAGGGTACAAAAGGTTTTTTTTTTCTTAACCAGAACATTTACAACAGCTTTTGAACAGTGGAGAGCTAAAAACGGAAAGAGACGTCATCTATTGATTTGTATTTTTCTTCTCTCTCTCTCTCTCTCTCTCTCTTTTTTATTTTTTTTTGTTAAGTTAAATATCAGAACAACACTTAAAGGAACAGACCCCGTTCAGTTTCAAACACGTAGCTTTGAGTTTATACACGGCTGCAAAACGGCATGCAGATTACCCAGAAGGCCACTGGGTTTCGCCCTCAGCAATGTCCAGTCATTGCTCGGGAAAGACAATCATATCTTGCTTTGGGACGTTGGGAAGCGACACTTTTGGTACCGAGGAGAGGTTATGTTTAGTCGTGATCGATACGTTGGTAGAAGCGTCTAACATATAAGGCTTTGGGGTTTTCGAGCAGCAACTTCCATCACGTACAGTCTCAGCCTCACGGGGAAAAGCTTCCGGAGAAATCCCTGTTTTACAGGAACGAGCTCAAGACCCGGAAGTTTACGGCGCAGGAAAACCATCTTTGTTCCAGTGTAAAAACTGAGCTTGTTCCTTTAAACATCCAGAGATCGGCACGTGATCTTTTCATCCGTCTCGTGTAAATCGGTATTAAAGTGAAGTGGAAGTGGAAGCCGGGAAGAGGTCGAAATCTTCAAAGTAGCGTTTTTCTACGAGTTTGCTTCTTTTTTTGTTGGGGGCAAGTGTTGATACTCTAAAATCATGTCTAAAAGAATCAAGATTATCTAGATAAACAACTATTCCTCAAGGAATTCAGCTACGGGAAGATTAACACAAGGCTAAAATGTAAAAAAAAACAGAAACCGCGTGTCGGCGTTCCGACCGAATCCGAAAGCCTTCCCGCGTTCGGTGTGGATTCGCCTCTGGTTTCTCGTCTGTGACGAACGTGACGCGCGACACACCGTCTTCAAGACTATCAGTGTGTGTGTGTGTGTGTGTGCGTTCACCGCGGCGGAAGACATTCGATTCTTATCGTTCGCTGTTATCTTTCATAAACGAATGGGAAAGTGCATTGAAAGGAACATGAGAAGGGCTTTGAGCGTGGGGGATCTCAGGCTCACGGACCGACTCGAGATTCGATCGGAATTGCGACTTCGCGGTTTCATTCACTATTGGTTACCAATATATCAACATCTGTCCTGAGGGACCAAGTCACACTTTGTAAAATTCAGTGTAAGATTCAGCAACTGAACAAACATCTACCGATACTAGCTTTTTTTAAAACCAAAATCAAGCAGCCAAAACAAATGATAAACAGACAGACAAACGTACGACATTCTTAACCGCGTCTAAAGCCGAACGACGTGTTTCTGTCGCTCCTACGGGTCGTTGTTTTTGGTCTCCAGCGTCTTTTCCTCTTCCTGGTTCTGAATCGGACTCTCGGATTGGTCAGATTGATCCGCCCCTGCGGCGTCCACTGTGTTAGTGGGTTGGTCGATCCCCCTGTCAATCACAGCGGCTGGACCAATCAGAGGCTGAGCTGATGAGGGAACAGGACTGGCGTCTTTCTTGCTGTCGTTAACAGTCCTGCAAACATCAGATGTGTGTTCAGCTTTACTGGCTGATTAATGTGGCACATTTTATAAGGGTTAAAGGGTTATTCACCCGAAAACTAAAATCCTGTCGTTAATTACTCGCCCTCGTGTCGTTCCAAACCCGTAAGACTTTCGGTCATCTTCGAAACACAAACCAGAGATTTCTGTCCCTCCATTGAAAGTCTGTTCACGTAAAGAAGGGTTTGGGTTTCGGTTGAATTTGATCAATTCCGATTCTTATTCCTAATTTTGATTCCAATAAGATAAAAAAAACGTAGATATCGTTCACATTTAGTCTTTTTGCAAAAAAACAACCTTCTGTTTATGATGTACACTCACCTAAAGGATTATTAGGAACACCATACTAATACTGTGTTTGACCCCCTTTCGCCTTCAGAACTGCCTTAATTCTACGTGGCATTGATTCAACAAGGTGCTGAAAGCATTCTTTAGAAATGTTGGCCATATTGATAGGATAGCATGTTGCAGTTGATGGAGATTTGTGGGATGCACATCCAGGGCACGAAGCTCCCGTTCCACCACATCCCAAAGATGCTCTATTGGGTTGAGATCTGGTGACTGTGGGGGGCATTTTAGTACAGTGAACTCATTGTCATGTCCAAGAAACCAATTTGAAATGATTGGAGCTTTGTGACATGGTGCATTATCCTGCTGGAAGTAGCCATCAGAGGATGGGTACATGGTGGCCATAAAGGGATGGACATGGTCAGAAACAATGCTCAGGTAGGCCGTGGCATTTAAACGATGCCCAATTGGCACTAAGGGGCCTAAAGTGTGCCAAGAAAACATCCCCCACACCATTACACCACCACCACCAGCCTGCACAGTGGTAACAAGGCATGATGGATCCATGTTCTCATTCTGTTTACGCCAAATTCTGCCTCTACCATCTGAATGTCTCAACAGAAATCGAGACTCATCAGACCAGGCAACATTTTTCCAGTCTTCAACTGTCCAATTTTGGTGAGCTCTTGCAAATTGTAGCCTCTTTTTCCTATTTGTAGTGGAGATGAGTGGTACCCGGTGGGGTCTTCTGCTGTTGTAGCCCATCCGCCTCAAGGTTGTGCGTGTTGTGGCTTCACAAATGCTTTACTGCATACCTCGGTTGTAACGAGTGGTTATTTCAGTCAAAGTTGCTCTTCTATCAGCTTGAATCAGTCGGCCCATTCTCCTCTGACCTCTAGCATCAACAAGGCATTTTCGCCCACAGGACTGCCACATACTGGATGTTTTTCCCTTTTCACACCATTCTTTGTAAACCCTAGAAATGGTTGTGCGTGAAAATCCCAGTAACTGAGCAGATTGTGAAATACTCAGACCGGCCCGTCTGGCACCAACAACCATGCCACGCTCAAAATTGCTTAAATCACCTTTCTTTCCCATTCTGACATTCAGTTTGGAGTTCAGGAGATTGTCTTGACCAGGACCACACCCCTAAATGCATTGAAGCAACTGCCATGTGATTGGTTGATTAGATAATTGCATGAATGAGAAATTGAACAGGTGTTCCTAATAATCCTTTAGGTGAGTGTATATGCGAATCAAAGCCTAAATCTGTTGATCATATAAAGAAATCGTGTCTCTTCAGAAAGCTTGGATTAAACCGCTTCTTTCATATGGATTTATTTGACCATCTCTTTATAAATGTTGTAAAGCGAGGCACGGAGATCTTCTAGTTTTGTCGAGGAGGGAAAGCCTCACGGGTTCGGGACGGCATGAGGCGAGTCATTAATGATTTTGATCTGATTTTAATGGCGAGACTCACATGCCGTGTCGAAGGACGTGTCGCTCCCACTCGATGCTCAGCGTGAACGTGCGCCCGCAGAACTCACACGGATAGCGCTTCACGGGAGACTCCGGAGCTCCTAAAACACCAACGACATGATATAACACAATATTCACTGAGCGAACGAGCAAACAGCTTCTGAAACATTCAACATGTCATCTTTCAACACATAACTACATTTACATTCAGACGCTTTTATCTCAAGAACACTGTATCCCCGGGAATCGAACACAGGACATTGGCATCGGGATTTACAGTAATGCTTTAGCTCAGGTAATATATATATATATTTGTCGCTTTGTCGCGCTGTGATCGATCGCGCCAAGTGTGAGTAACTCTATAGGAGTCTATTGTTTCAGGATCAGTTGTTTCGTACATTTACTTCGCCTAATCGTGACGTTTTCTATAAAAGGTAATGTGAGACACTACAGACAAAACCATTGTTTTTTTTTCAGATTTGAGCTCTATTTTGCCTCCAAAGCTTGGCAGACTAGCGGATAGAAAACACTGAAGAGTTTACTTTATTGCACTTTATCTATTTGCATATTCTAATGAACATAGTTTTAGTCAATATTTTAATGAACAAACATAATTCGAGAATTTAGTCTGATTCAAGGGGAATCAGAATGCCAAACCCTGACTGAGACAGGAGGAGCTGGGGAGGGAGGAGGGTAATCCTGAGAAACGCCACAGCTGCTGATAACACTGAAGAGCTTATATATGAATACAGTGATAGGCGTCGTATTCCTATAGGTAGAGGATCAGCTGAGAGTCACTGATGCGAGCTTGACTAACGTGACCTACATGACCTAACGTGACCTATATGACCTGACTTGACCTAACGTGACCTAACGTGACCTACATGACCTAACGCGACCTAACGTGACCTACATGACCTGACTTGACCTAACGTGACCTAACGTGACCTACATGACCTAACGTGACCTACGTGACCTAACGTGACCTACGTGACCTAACGTGACCTAACGTGACCTACATGACCTAACGTGACCTATATGACCTGACTTGATCTAACGTGACCTACATGACCTAACGTGACCTACGTGACCTAACGTGACCTACATGACCTAACGTGACCTATATGACCTAACGCGACCTAACGTGACCTAACGCGACCTAACGTGACCTACATGACCTAACGTGACCTAATGTGACCTACTTGACCTAACGTGACCTAACGTGACCTACATGACCTAACGTGACCTACATGACCTAACGTGACCTAACGTGACCTACATGACCTAACGTGACCTAACGTGACCTAACATGACCTACATGACCTAACGTGACCTAACATGACCTACATGACCTAACGTGACCTACATGACCTAACGTGACCTAACATGACCTAACGTGACCTAACGTGACCAAACATGACCTACATGACCTAACGTGACCTACATGACCTAACATGACCTACATGACCTAACGTGACCTTCGCTTGATAGCGTTATATTTTTGACCTCCTGTTGATTATCTTTAACCAGATTGAGTGAATCTTCTGAACTGTTACCTGTGTCCTCCGTCCCGTCCGGAAGCTTCTCCTCCTCTTCCTCATCCATCATCTCCTCCTCTTCCTCTTCATCTGCCTCCTCTTCTTCTCTCTCCTCTTCCTCGCTGCTGTTCGCGTCCTTCATCTTGTCCTTCATCAGCTCCAGCTGGTCCAGGTTCACCCGCCCCACCAGCTCATAGTTACGGATCACCTGCGGATCAATTGGAATATTGTGTAAAACATTTGTGAACAAAGCAGCATTTTCATCCCAAAAAAATCATCACTTCCTGGGAAATTGGTGCGCAATATCAGTAATAAACTGTAAGTTTCTCCAATCGATTCTCCAATCAATTTTTCCCTCCATCATAAACGAGTGTGTCTCAGAGCGTCAGACGAAACACAGTAAACGCTGTCATGTTCTCTGGCGTTCGGATGCTGGTGTTTGGGAACACACTCGTGTGTGAGAGACGCTTCTGGAGGGAATTAAACCCAATCATTCTGATCACACACTTTGACTTTCAGAAACACCAAACCAAACATTTGAGATGCTGCGATGCCATTGGTCCACTGGTTAGTCCAGTTATCCAATCACAGCCTCTATTTTTTTGAAGGGATTTGTTTACTTATTGGATAATTTTTTTTTATTTACCTCAATTGAGTGCATATGTTTTTTATGTGCATTTGTATAATTTATGCACATCTTTAAGCTTTTTTTTTCTTATGTGATATCCAAAAATTTGCATGAAAATATCTCAATGGAAACACAATTGAGATTCACAATCTTCTTAAGAAAAAGATCAATAAGAAATTAACAAAAGAAACATGAATGTAAAGTGTTCCAGTATTGTCTTAAAGGCATTTGTAAGATATCTAACCACTAAAACCGTGATATATATTTTTTGTTGACTTGTTTAAATGTTTCCACCAGAAACAACGCAACCTCGGGACCGTTTTCAGGCCGTCCCACTTAAGTGCTGAAAGGCTTTTTTAATATTAATGCGGGTCCTATAAAGCTCTTGCTTGATCATTACCTTTCTCTTTCCAGTGATATTCCCCTGACCTTTTCTCTTTTGTAATGTCTCTCAGCCATCTCCCTTTCTACAGTCTTTCTTCTAATCTCCCTCTTGCTCACTATAGCCCTATTCGGACGGGATTAACTTTACAAGGGTAGATGGAGTAATGTAATTTTATATATTAATATTAATGGCCAATTCGCATGGGATAAAATATCTCAGTAAAACTAGCAGAAGTGGGAGAGTAACTCGATTTGCATATTACGTTGCTTCCTGATATCATGTGTGCAAACACATATAACCTATATTTATATATATAAAACAGTTATGTCCGGTCGAACGATGTATTAATTAACTTCAGATTGGATTGTGCTGGTAATAGCCACTTACTTAGCGGTAAAAGATGTTTCGTGCCTCTAACAAGTGCTTTCGATCTTCTTTCTGATCTGAATGGTGTGTGTAAAACACTTGAGTTTGCCACAGACTTGTCTCAGCGTCTAGAACGAACTGAATGCTCTTTCAAGCATCTCCATACTTGAAAAACTACTTTTAAACAGGAAATGACAAAATATTTACGTACATATTTACAGCAGGTCTATTCGCACGGGATTAGGTAAAAGTCGCCGTAATCTTTACTGACATTGTCCGTAATTATTACTGAGATGCACATTCGGACGGGACTAAAATTACAGAGAAGCTCTGGTAATTATTACTTTACCCCAGCTCTCCATGTTAAACTAATCCCATCCGAATAGGGCTTATCTCTCTCTCCTCCCCATCACGAGTGGACACGCCCCCCTACTGCTGATTGGCTCACTCTCTCCTCCCCCATCATGAGTGGACACGCCCCCCTACTGCTGATTGGCTCACTCTCTCCTCCCCCATCATGAGTGGACACGCCCCCTACTGCTGATCGGATCACTCTCTCCTCCCCCATCATGAGTGGACACGCCCCCTACTGCTGATTGGATCACTCTCTCTCCTCCCCCATCATGAGTGGACACGCCCCCTACTGCTGACTGGATCACTCTCTCTCCTCCCCCATCATGAGTGGACACGCCCCCTACTGCTGATTAGATCACTCTCTCTCCTCCCCCATCATGAGTGGACACGCCCCCTACTGCTGATTAGATCACTCTCTCTCCTCCCCTATCATGAGTGGACACGCCCCCTACTGCTGATTGGATCACTCTCTCTTCCCCCATCATGAGTGGACACACCCCCTACTGCTGATTAGATCACTCTCTCTCCTCCCCCATCATGAGTGGACACGCCCCCTACTGCTGATTAGATCACTCTCTCTCCTCCCCTATCATGAGTGGACACGCCCCCTACTGCTGATTGGATCACTCTCTCTTCCCCCATCATGAGTGGACACACCCCCTACTGCTGATTAGATCACTCTCTCTCCTCCCCCATCATGAGTGGACACACCCCCTACTGCTGATTAGATCACTCTCTCTCCTCCCCCATCATGAGTGGACACGCCCCCTACACATCCAATCCACTTTCAACAACATTTCTGAAAAATTGCTTACTGCACCTTTAAACGTAACTTTAGTGGTAAAATAAACATAAACAACAAAACGAAAGGACACACAAGCATAAACGTAACTTCACCCCACAGTGGTGTTATGTAGGTGAGCACAGGCACCTTGTGTTCCTCTCGCAGGTGAATCTCCAGCTCGTGCAGGAGCTTGCTGTCGTAGTAGCAGAGCTGGCACTGGTACGGCTTCAGCTCCTCGTGCTTCTGGATGTGCATCTGCAGGTTCTGCTCGCTGGAACAGGTGAAGGTGCATTTATGACAGCGGAAGACCAGGCCCTCCAGGTGACGGGACAGCTTCGAGCGCGAGACCTCCAGCGGCGCCACGCGCTCCTCTGACACACACACACACACACAGTCAATCAGTACCTGGAACCTTCTACTCTTAATGCATCGCAACTGTATCATCTCAGTGTAAACGATGAGAGGCAGAAACACTGAGCGGCAGCATTTGTTTTCAGTGTGAATGCCGCGAAAAACACACAGAACGCATCTAAAACTGGAAAGTGCTTTGAGATTGACTATATAAATATATTTATATAGCTGTATTTTTACAGACTGCTGAAAGCTACAGAACTGAGAAGTGAATGAATCGCTGCGATTAAACAACTGGACCCAGGCAGAGAACGGTGGATTTGCAGTTAGTGTGTGTCACTATGCTGAATTACGGGGTAAAATCACACCCTATATATTGTATTGTTATATATTGTATTGACAACTCATCAATTAAGTATTACCGTCGTATATTCTGCATAATTGGATGTTTTTAAATAAACACTGACAAGAAACTACACAAGTTTTAGGGCTGGACGATATGGTGATATATAACACTGATATAAGTGATCACATGGATAATCGTTCGTTTTACTCGCGCTTTCGCAGTTTCCTCTATTAAATCCAGTCATATTGCAGGTAATTTTGCCACTCACTCCGTGTTCCGGTGGGAAAGTGACGTCAATGCATAACCTCTATAATATAATTTTTATTTAATGATATCAAATCAATGGTGTCTGTAATTGTATGATACAATTTGTTTATGTGGATAAAATAAAAATAAAGTAAGGAAAAATAAATAAATGATCACTGAGCCAATGAGTTAAATGACCCACTGAACACAGAGAGCCAAAAGAAAACCAACATCGAAATAAATTGATGAAACGCTAATAATGAAACACTGTAAATGAGGAGTGTGTCACCTCTGTGCAGGACGATGTGGTCGATCATGCTGGTCTTGTGTTTGCTGTGGTAAAGACAGAAGGGGCAGCGAAGGTCTTTGAGAAGCTCCTCCGATCCACTGCTGTGACCGCCTTCCACATGCAGCGTGAACGTAGACCTGACACACACACACACGCACACACACACACACACACACACACACACACACACACACACACACACACACACACACACACAGGGATATTCTGATGATTAGATTCCAGGCGTTTCAAGATCTGGGTTTCTCAAACTGGGGTTTGTGAGTGAATGAAAAGCTCATATAATAGCTTAAATGTAAAAAAAAATGATAATAAAAATGAAATATTTTATAATATAATGATAACGTAAAATGAAAATAAATCTAAAAATGAAAACGAATCAAAAAGAGTTGATGAAAAGCTAATAATTAAATCATTTAAAGAATTTTCAAATAAAATCAATCAAAATAAGAAACTAAAAAAATATATCATGTAATTTAATGTAAAATAAAAATAATCAAAAAAATCTAAAAGAGTTGAGCTAATAAGGAAATGCTGCTTTTCCTCGTGAGCTGAGAAGCGCTGCGAGTGAGTTAGCGTGAGAGCGATGAAGGAGCTGTTACTTGTAGCAGGTGAAGAAGCAGCAGTCCTTGCACTTGAAGAGCTTCTTCCCCCCGTGCCGGTCCCGGTAGTGTCTGCGCAGACTCTGCATGTA